TAAGTCCGTTTTATCGCTCTCGATAATCTCAGATGTAAGACTTCACTAGCCACGCCCTCATTAAATTGCGATTTCATAAACAGTTGTTTCTTTTCAACTGTTGTTAGTTTCTCTTTGTTGTACTTGGTGTTTATGTGTCTCCTTACAAATCTATTACTCATTGTACATTAACGTTCTACAACAAATGTTATTCAAGCGAACAAAACACAATATTTGTGGTATCCATTGTTCGGATGATAAAATAAATATAGTTTTAAGAAGAGAATGTCTGAATTTGAAGCTTTACAACTAGCACAGTATTTTACAGTCAACACATCAAATTACTAATCGTAAAAAATAATAATCAGTAGAACTCAACTATACATGAGTCATGTTGAATTTATGTACATGAATTCTATTAATACTTAACACGCATAATTAATTTGTCTTAGATGGTGGCAACAGCCTACCTACAAATAACAGTTATAATAATAAAAATATTAATAATACTAATGATATTAAATGGAACTATGACTGAATAATCTAAACATTGAATCTCTAATTATATTGAGTAAAAATAATATGAGCGAACGACTGAATCTAATATCTTGCACTTCAGGTTGTAAACTTATGACTCTATGAAATAAAGTAGCCTAGTCAGCCTACGTAAACATGTAAATTAATTCAATGTTACCACAGTAAGTGAGTATAAAGGTTGAATGAAGATTGAATGCAGTAGATGTGATCTTTGTAGTGCTGGTTATGCTATGAGCTTGTTATCAACAGAACAATGGCGATTATTATTGTTCTACCTTCAAATTTTATATGAACTTCATTTTATGACCATTTACCATTAAAACATACTGTTAATAGATTGAAATAGTTTTAAATTAGCTATTTTTATACCTACTTTTATGGATTTATAGCTGCTGCAGAGTGGACAGTGGACGTTATTGAAAACAGTTATCTTTTGTAGTTATTCTTGTCCCAATAAATCTATATCAGTTAGAAAACCAGTGAAAACCAAGGAGTATCGGATAGCTATTTTGTCCTAGTTCTAGACTCTTCGGGAACACGTACGCATAGGGTATCGAACACAGGACCTTCAGGCCGAAAGGCATGCTCGTATACCATTCAGCCACTTGGACCCTATCCAGTGGTTCATGAATTCTAACTTCTAGCAATTCGTGAATTTAGGGCAAACACCAGCCAATGTCATAAGGAAGTATTTGTCTCCACTGATCTACCAGGTCGAACATGCCTTCAGATCTGAAGGTCCTAGGTTCGATACCTGATGTATAAGTGTTGCGGAGGTGTTCCGAACTAGGACAAAATGGCTGTCCGATACTCCCTGGTTTTCAACGGTTCTCTAACTAACATTAATCCGTGATCAAACTTGAAGCAAATCAAATCCCTACAATCTAATTCTTGAAAACATGTCACCTTAAGTATTTAATTGGTGAATTACAATTTCTACTAAACTATGGTGATTAGGTCAGACTAATATTAGTTCAGGTTTAAATTACTTAAATGTTTCGATCACAGGGTGAACAGTTAAGCATTAGATCTTGAGTATTGAATGAAGTTTACACGAATATACCATAATAAGATCCTTCACTTACTCGACATTCAATCAAGCAACATAGTAATTAATATTAGAAGATAGACTAAAAGTGTCAGGTAAAAAGGGCACAATTTAGTGAGCAAGGTTGGGAAGTTTCATTGGTTGAGGTAGCTAGAACGTATGCCAAACTATCACCTATGAATTAGGATATGGATGGGAAAGAGTTAGGAGCGGTCACGCTAAGACATGCTGTCTACCCTGTGAATTTAAAGTCATCTAGATGGGAACAGACTAAATGTGGCTCACTGGGATTCTCAAGGTAATAAGAACCGAAATTATCTATAATCGCCCAGGTGAATTCACTTCTTATCGTCCTTCCAGGTTCTAGATTATTCCTCCTATCATACAGCTTTACCCGTTACAGTTTCAATAGATTTCTTTTCTTTGCTTTAATGCGCTTCTCTACAATGTGTCAAATTGAACTGTTAATCTGTTAACCAGTCAGCGCTATGACATCTATAGCAAGATAAGTTAGTTATTAATGATAAAAACATGCCCGATAAAGGACAGGTCATGTCTGATATTTTCCTTATTTTTTTTCCTTCACTTTCCCCAGTGGAACATAGGGCTTCAAGCTAGTGTCTTGAAGTTTCTGTAGCAGTGTTTAATTTTTTTTACAGGATGGGGTTGCTAGCCTTATGCCCAACCTTTCCTCTCTACCAGTCTTATTACTGGTTTATTGAGGTAAAGGAGTTTGTCGGCCGGGGATCGAATCCCGGACCATGTGCATGGTCGGCGAGCTTCCTAACCCCTATGCCACCTCCATATTTAAAGGAGTTTAATGATTTTAGCAAGGAAACATATACCGGTTCATATGGGATGCTAAATTAGTCAACAAAGTGACTTGGTAATATGTTGACTTGATAAACAACCAACTTCATATCCAAAGTGTACTGATTCCACATCTGGAAATGACTTCGTACATAAATCATGACTACAGTAAACTGACTGATTCATATATCAAACTGTTAAGCAAAAGACTTTATATATATATATATATGAACACACAGAAGAAGAATGAGACATATACCACAACTTTAATAATAATCATCATCAGATAGTCAAAACTTAGTCAAGGGTAAGAAAAAGGTCACAAAACAATCGATACAATTTAACGATTCATTCACGTACACTATTTTTCAAAGTATGATTTGTCATTAAACTAAACTGATTACTTGATACATTGGTAACTAAGGTGTTCGTGTAAAACTATTGTATTTAAAAATGACAAAAGAGAGGTTTCTCGATGCTAAATAATGCATGTTTGTACGTCAGTGGTTCAAAAGTAGAATTCTCACCAAGCAGATTGAGTAACCGAGTTCGACCTCTGGCCAATGTACACTCCCTAAACCTTGCCTAGCTTACTAACTAACAGTAAGCCTCGAAAAAGAAGGAAGGTTCAGTATGGGGCTGAGGCAACCCCGACCCGTAGAACACAACCACAACTGAAATTTCAAAGCTGGAAAGCACCAAGTTCCCCTCGGAATGCAACGAATGTTTTAAAAATTTTTTTAAATGTACCTCTAAAGTACCTTTCAGAAGTGGATATATGAAATTTAACGAAACAAACTAATATTTGAAGTGATAAAAAAGAATTATAACTCTGAATAAATATAGCAATTAATTCAGCGTTCTTGAAGTCGTAGACGTTCATTCCACAATCAGGCGCATGAAGACACACCCTCACAGCCTCATACGATTATTATAAGTGATAATTTGTGCACGAAATATCATTTAGCTTATAACGCTTTCTGTGTCATGTCAAATAAATGTATCTAATATGGGATTATAATTTAAGCATACCCTACAATCTGTAAAACGTGAGATGGAAGATAGAGAAAGATCATAAAGTGTTCACAGACAGTAATGTGACAGTGCCCAGAAGTCATTCGCGTAAAATTACACACTAATATAAAGCATGAATGCCATGTATGGATCTGATTTATGAATATAACTTGGGCGTTATGGGAGAGTAATGCTATGCATTAGAGTAATTTATTTGATTGACAGAATACAGTTATATTTAGTAATAGAGTTTATATTAGCACAGCTTCCAATGTTCAGTCTGGTCTATTCAAATTTATACTTTATAGGTTCAACATCCATTTAAAAATAAGAATTCTTATGAACAGATTGAATCTGACTTCAGTCAAAATTTTGCACAACTTGTCGATTTTTTTATTCTGAAACTTTGCTTAGGTGACTTCAACATTATTTGTCAGACAATTAACTAAGAAACTATTACTATTATGACCATAGTTAGTTTAGCAATTTTGTTTGCTCTTCTTAATTCTTATTTAATGTTACGTAACTAATGAAATTAAATAATTACTTCATTCCCGACCGATAACTGCTACCTTAGCGTGGTGGTCAGGCTTGTATACCGCAATGATAGCCATTAGACCAAAAGCAGTTACCGGCATAGTGTAGGACGTTTACACTATATTGGAATCTGTGGGAAAAGTCGTGCTGCGGGAGAGCGGGGGTGTAATAGCACTAAGGTAGTCCATAGCCGGAGGTAAGTTACTAATACGAAACAACTCTAAAAACCAGTTCAAGCAGACCGTATGTGACCGGTCTCAAACAGTTGTCCCCTGGGCTCTTCGGTCACTAAAAATTATCTTTCTGTTTTTGGTACCTCAGTAAAAAAAATCAACTTCCGCGAAAAGCAACAACCACCTACACACTTCCAACAGTAAATGAAGCTCTCTCGAACCTTACTATCACCGATTATTACGAAAATTAGTAGTTTGTAAAAGAATGATTTATATATCAACCAACATATAATCTGACCAAATGTTCAGATGTTTGCTTTGTTGGGATTTGACTGATCTATAGAATAGATATTAATATTAATATGAACTGACATAATATACGAGAACAACAGAAAGTCAAGAGGCAAAATATGTTTGATTTTCAATGATTTTTTTAGCCAATACTTCTTCATGTCAGAAATCTATCTTACCTAAATATCTTGAAAATGACAAATGCTAACTTCTCAATATTGTATCATAGCTAGACACTTATGATCTATTTGTGCTTCAAAAGTGTTACATCTTGTCACAGGGTCATCCAAAGGACAGTACACTGAAAGACAATATTTCCTTAGCCTATTTTATTTTAAACTGCACACATTTATGTAGATGTAACCTAATCAGACAAAAATAAGTGACACATTCCCTCTAAGTTCGACGACATTACTGCTTGTCAAAGCGTCAAAACGTACACCTGCAGAAAGAGCAGGAAACACAAAAGTATCATTGATAAAAAATGCTTTTATGTTATTAAGTAAATCTCAGCCACGTAATAACCGTTAAGTCATCTAACATATGTTAGGTAACAGGTATGTATATAAGATTATTAAAAAACAAAACTTTTAAAACATAATTCTACTTACCTACGCGGTTGCATTACATCAGCTGCAACTAACATACTATCCAATTCATCATAAGCTCCAAGATAAGGATAATCGTTCAATCGAATATGCTCTTCATATATACTGCCATTAGTCAATCTATCACCAGTCCATTTACTAACCATAGCTGCAATCATTAACGGGATAATATAATTCAATCTACAAAAAGAGAGAAAATATTCATTATCAGAACATAAAATATAAATGAAAAAAGAGTAAAAACAAATGAAAGATGACCAGTTCCATAACAACAAATTTTGGTGATGTCTAGAAGTGCAGATAAATGACAATTAAAGATAAAAAAATGTGCGGCTCATACTGTAGTATAAAGAAAACTTATCTCAGGTAGTTAACTTTGAACGAAGATACTACAGGAGGAGCTAGTACCATTTCTTCCTAACCCAATCAACTACATACTGTCACAACAAAATGGTGAGTACAATAAAGTACTTGTAAAAACTTATACATTAAGAGATGATAATGTTTAGTATTAGACCAATCAAAACTGCATATTAAGTGTAAAACTATATCTATATTCCCAGATGAGGAAGTGTGTTTTTACCATCAACACCATTTAAAATGATCAAGAATAAATCAGTGAAAAGTGCTAGCTATAATTCACACAAATAACCTTAACGTATGAGTGAAATTTCACTTCAGTAACTAAAAAGTTCAAGTTGGGTTCACTCGACTGGACGACAGTGTAGATATAAAAAGACTTTTTTTAATTGGATAATTGGAAGAAATTGGCAGCAAAACCCTGAACCTAGGTTTCGCGTTTATTGTCATCATCATCGTCAATAAGGAGTAACTGCAATCTCGAATAAATCAATATCTACTAAGAGATTCTAATCCTACATTATTCAGCGTTTCAGTTATAGACGTCACCAGTGATGAGTGTTAAAAAGAAAAAACTAACATCCACCGTTTCTGGTAGATTAATTTCAACCATCTAATGATAATTCAGCGTGCAGTGATAGCTAATCTCATTAGCGACTGGCCCTACTCAGGTATGTAGTTACCTGAGGTTCTAGTGGGATGTTGTGACCAGTAAGGTGCGGCAGGTCAGATGTGAGGACTAGCGGTCATGCTATTTGATGAATTGGCAGAAGTTAGAATTCATGGGCCATTGGATTGGGTACAAATGACTTAATGGTCTAGGAGTTCGCTAGCCTTGTAACCAGAAGGTCCTTGGTTCAAACCCCGGTGATGCCTGCTGATGAAGTCCCAGACTGGGACGATACAACTGGCTGTCAAGTACTCCCAGGCTTTCCAATGGTTCTATAACTGAGGTCAGCTCACAATGAAGTCCTATAACTGATATTTCATTACCGATGTCACCTCATGATTAAATCCTGTAACTAATATTTCATAGTTTGATGATGCTAGTTACATCCCAATGACAAAACAGTTAAAAGACTTTAAAGTATATATGATTGAAAAACAAACACAATAACAATGAATAGTTGATCAACTCTAATTGATAATGACGAGAACACTTACAAAATCACATTCATCTAAGTACCTAAATCCGATTATTTTTCTGGAATAACTAATAAGTCAAAAGTAATGGTGACAAAATATCATGCATTATATATGTAAATGTGTATATCAATGCACTGAGGCAACTGTAAAACGGTTAAATAACCATCCTTTTAAAAATATAAGTGCACAATACAATCACAATGAATAATAATTTATTCATCTGTTATATAAATATATATACATATCAATGCCATTAGAGGGTAATTTCAGACAAAAACTAATCATTCACCGTCATGATGAATGATGAAATAAAATGTAGATAAAGGTGATGGCAATGCATGTTGACTCATTGAAGCATTTACCTGAAACGTGGTTATATAGAATGAAAGTCAGTTGATATGCAACAGAAAACCATATGGTCATGACAAATACTACAACATTTATACTGGAACAAAATGAATACCAATTAGTTATAATTATCAAAAGTGAATAATAATTATCATAGCTTCTTTTTCTGTATTGTGCGTCGGTGGCACAGCGGTAGAATGCTCGCCAACGACGCAGATGGTTAGGGGGTTCAATCTTCGGCCCACACATTCCTTTACCTGGCTAAGCCAGTAATAAGACTGGTAAAAAGGGAAGGCTGGACATGAGGCTAGCAACCCCATCCCGTAAAAACAAACACCACTTGCTGTGAAAACTTAAAGCCTGAAGCCCTTTGTTTCACTGAAAACGTACAGGAATAAAAAAATTTATTTCCACTACCAGAAGCCTTATATCCATATCATACACTCTGACATACTTTTGTTATTAACTTGAAACAAAGACAATTCCAATGGAATCTGCGTTTGTAAGGTCTTCGAAATAGTATATAGTGTAATTTATTTCAACATCTTTAAGCTCAGCATCCTGTTTAGTACACTACTACTACTCAGTGATAGGTACAAGTTTTAAAAAATTATAAAAGAATCAGTTATTCATCTAGATAAAAGGTTAATAGCGTCCTAAAAGGTTTATTACAGATACTGTAGAAAAGAAATTCAGTTACAGCCACAGAAAGTCACACTGTTAAGAATAATTAAAAATTACAAATCAGAAGTCACAATGTGAGATATCCGAGTAAACTGTTTACAAATACTGTTGGTATTAGATGCTTGGAAGCAATCGGCAACACCAACGACAGGACTAGACACATACACACATTACACTAGTTATTGACTAGTGTCCAGTCAAAAATATCCAATACAACCCTACAAGAGGTCAATCGCGAGTCTGAATAGCTCAGTGGCAACGTCTCCGACTGCAGCACTGGGTGACGCGGGTTCGAAATGTAGAAGGGACATGGGCTCCTTCGAAGCTGCAGATGCGCCTTGCTGATTAGTGCCAACTAGCACGGACCTTAGAATCAAGGCTTCCTGCTGATCGCCTCCAACCATCTAATACCAACAATTCACAGTGCACCATGATGGTGAGCCACCTAGTATGATGGTCACACTGCAGACTTGACTGACAGAATTCAGTCTGCACCAAAGATAAGACTAGACACACCATACACATTACACTAGTTACTGACTAGTGTCTAATAAAAAATATTTACAACTATGCTAATAAAACTATTACATCGATTTTAAAAAATATATATATATATATATATATATATAAGGACAAATGTATCCTAATCGTAGTTCTCTCAGAATCTTATGTATTTGAATGGCTAACCAACAAGGCCAGACAACAATTTTCAATGTCAATTAATTTAAATTCAATTTATGGTGAAAATTATCTGCCAGTTTAGAAAACCTAACTGAAATTTATGTCATACAGCAGTTAGGTATACATCTAATCCTTAAAATCTCAACACAATCCATCTTATATAATGAAATGAATTCATGAATAGACAGCCTAAAGTTTTAAAGCAAGCCGTATAAACAGGATAACAGAATTCCAGCAATAACTAATGTATAACGAGATCACAATCACAATCAGAAAGAAAAGATTTTATGCCCTTTAAACTCTGAAATCAAAAACAAAGTTAACATCGAATTATGCGAAATTTATGTTTTTCTTAGGGTTGAGAGACTTGACTCATATTATTTATCTTACTAGCATGACTAAAAAAACCAAACAGACAACAATAATATAGTCCAAATAATCAGGATAGGTTGTGCGTCGGTGGCACAGCGGTTAGGACGCTCGCCGACCATGCACATGATTCGGGATTCGATCCCCGACCGACTCACTCCTTTACCTCACTAAGCCAGTAAGTGAAACGGGTAAAGAGGAAAGGTTGGGCATGAGGCTAGCAAACCCATCCTGTAAAAATAAACACTGCTACAGAAACTTCAAGCCTCTAGCTTGAAGCCCTATGTTCCACTGGGAGCGTGAAGGAAAAAAAATCAGGATAGGTTAATCATATTACGTAAACTATGCTAATTTCTTTGGCGGATGAAATTATCAATGATAAGAAGAAATCCAAGGAGGAAGGAAAAACACAAAAACTAACTGTTATTTACCCTCCAGTTAACTCTAGCATCACTACAACTAGTGATATTGTCATTCTTGTAACACCGCCAAGTGTCGCTGCTGCACCAACCATAGCATACAGGCCTGGATTAATACACGGTTGTGATGATTTGCACATTTTTTCAATAAGCGGATGTGATGCATGTGCTACAACAAATTGTTCCGTAGCTATGCCCAACATTCGACCCATAATAGCACCAGCCTAATTGAGTGAAAAGCATGAAGGCGTTCATAAAAATAAAATTCATTTCAACATTATAAAATAAGCTGAAAATAGAAATCAACCATATTGCATATCTGAATGACTTATCAACTTAGAAACTTGGGCAAAGTTAAAGCATTACAATCCATGGAATTCGAACGCACATTTGACCTTGAGCGGACCAATCAGGAAATATAATGGTTTCTACATAAAAATGGCGTTTATTTACAAAAGAAATGTAGAGCACAATGATAAAGTACAGTAAACAGGACATTTTCTCTGATATTGTTTAAAAATAGCTCCCAATTAAAATGAAGAGTATAAATTTTTAAGTTAGACCAGTTTCTGTGCATGTATTGGCTAAGGTGACTGAAGATGAGCTATTTTAGTGACCCGTTTATCGCTCTTATCCTGTTTTGAAGTCTCCCCCAAAAGCCCTCGACTGAATTACTATGGTTTCCAGTAAAAGGGTCGACGACTACTTACTAGGGAAATGTGGATAATAAAACTAATTAAAATAAATAATAACATATACCAAATAATGGTAATAATACCAATATAATAATACCCTTATACCTACCTTAACCCTAACAAGCTATTAACACACTGTCTAAACAGTACTTTAAGACGTGATCGGGTGTAATTGACACCTTAATTCGTGAGTGACGTTCACACTGGCGCTATAATAATGGTAAATCTCGTTGTTCAACGACTAGTATGCATTCAAGGTCATTGAGGTGTTTGTACTCCTGGGTCGTTGTGCTTTAACTCGGCCGAATTTCGCACAAACGTGCATCATCTCAAGTAGTCACATCAAAAAAGCATAAATAAAATTGGAAAAATGGAGTGCAATGAAATCACGATGAATGAAGATGTGCAGGAGAAGTATTAGGTGAAGATCAGTGAGGATTTTTAGAACTTAAATGACAGAAAGGAAAGAACAAACCTACGGCATTTAGAATGAATTTGAGTTGTACTGAAAACAGTTCCTAGATAGGTCGAAGCAACAATCAAACACCTCAGTAATTGAGGTCATCTTTTCTTCTGACTACCGATTCGCAATCTAGTCTAATTTCAACTGTCACTCGTCAAGAAAGGCGGTAACTTGGAGTGTGTAACACACACCTTAATCTTCCTATTCGAAGAAATTTTGACTACTCTATGATTGCCTTTACCATCTTACTGTACTAAAACACACATACTGAGAAATTTTCATGCAGTTGATTTAATGAGAAAGGAAAAAAATATACTTCTTAACCAGAACCCATGATACATATCATTATTTGAATATCTTATGAAACTTATCCACACAGCACATGTCTTTAGACACTTTATAACATTACCATTGCCAAGACATTGCTTCCATCATAAGGTCAAGCATGAGTTGAAGAAACATCCATTTCCATTGAGAAATCAAGTCAGGTATTCGTAAGTTGTGATCAAACTAAAAGAAACGTTGAAATACGGATTGATAATCACGCTTTTAGTCGTTTTATAATAGTTGACAGTTTACAACTTGTTCATATATTGGAAACGTCGTGATTGTTTAGGTAACTCAAGAGGAAATAAACAAAAAAAAACAGTAGAAAATTAGTAACAACAAAAGAATATTTCAAAAGGTATACTTACTGCTAAGGATGGGATGAATAATCCAGTCGGCACTTTGATACCAAATGTAAAGACAGTTAAGATAAGTTTTAGAATCAAGGCAATTGCCAACAATACCACAGCTGTTGATAATGTCGGTCCAGCAGGATAATTTTGTAAAACTGTAGCGAGAGGATTACTTGTATTGTAACGATAATCACTAGAAAACAAAACAAAGGAAGAAAAACAAAAGTTTTAAGTACTTCTTAAGGAATTTATATTCATTACAGTGGTTACAAGAGTAAATTACGATGAGCCATCTCTTTACCTTAGGTAAGAGAATTTAAGATACTATTCGGCTGAATTCATCGATATAGACAAAATTTGTTTATACTGCTTAAAGTATGCATCCTAGTGAGAAAACTAGGCTAGTTAGCTTCTGTTAACAAAATTTAGAAATTCTTCGGTATTAGGACATAAGCATAGAGACACTGAAATAAGAGTACAACTTGGACACAGGAGTGACTTAATTGCGTATCCCCACTAATTGTAGCGTCGTAATCCGTTGCTATGGTGGTCTGATGACAAGCTATATTTTTATGTCTGCTTTTTTAAATGAAAGTTTGCTTTAAAAATTTCTTCTGTTGTACATATTATCGGTGGGGTTATATTCTTGAACTGAGTTCCATTTGCTGCACTTTTATCAGAAAATGTTGCTTGATACTGATATCTAAGCAATGTAATGGATTAAAGGACGTAGTAGGTTCAAAAGTTAAACGTATATTATTGAATTTTCCCTGAAATCATGTCGGTATATTTTGGCATATTTATTTATACGCCCAAATATCCACCACATAAAGGCGGCGCCACTTCAAAAAGGGAATATGGCATACATAATCGGCCGATTACAAGGATTATAAAATCGAACCAACTGGAGTGAAAGATGTTTGTTTCATGTTGGCAGGGGTAGAATTGCAAATGAGGGAATCTTACAGAGGTAAATAATTACCACTGATCTAATACTCATCGGTGAGTGTAACATACCCGATGGTGGAGTCTGTCTGTCTGTTTTCAACACAGAACTTTGCACGGATGTGCACCAGTCCGAGCCACCACACTCCACGTAGAACACAGAGCGAGAGAAGAGAGAATCAAAACAGAGATAACAAACAGAAATATAAGGCAAAAGGAATAGTAAATATGGAAGAACAATGTAGTTTTATTCGATATTATAAATCACAGGGAGTGTATGCATCTGCTCTAGCCATTGAGAACGGTTTTGAGATAGATCACCAATTATCTCCAGCCAATGGTCTTTACAGTCCCGAGGACCCCAACCAGGAAGCCAGTCTACATCTTCTTACGTGGCTCAAACTAACTGTTGTAGATTTCATTGACTAATGATGCTATGTTTTGGTTTGACCACCACTTGCTTTCTCTTTTCTAACCTGATCCATCCTAAGTCAGCTAACATTATCCGTCGAGGAAGGCGATGGCTAGGTATACGTAACACATGGCCTAACCATCTCAGTCGATGTAGAGGTGGTGGAGTTCCACGAGGAACTTGGAATCGTTTATTAGAGACTACCGGTGATTATTATTATTTTTATTATTACCAATATTAGGATAGAAACTTGGTTAATTGTGGGCACCAAGAGATGCCCCACACAAAATCTCATAGTTTGCCCAAGGTCTAAGATACTATCCGAATGCCCAAACTGAAGCAGGTGTTTTGCATAAGAGGCCACTCCACCCCCAGAGTCTTTAACTTAAAGTCTAATCCATAAGTCAGTGAAGCAGTGTCAGGAGCTGTGTTCCTGGGGTTTCCGGTAACCAAGACGGGTTCATTTGTCATTTGATCCTTCCAGGTTCTGGAGCCCGTGTACACCATAGTTTTAGAATCAGTGTTTTCCAACTCCCTTATGCAGACCTGCATGCCAATCAGTCTAGCTGTAAGCGCTAGAATTCGAGTGATATTGTGGTGAGAGCTGGCTGTTAGTCAAAGTTGGTGGGTAGTAATTTACGTCAATGTTAATGTCCCAATATTGGTCGTGAGAAAAATGAGAACAAAGGGTTTGCGTAGGCGGATACAGTTAACATATAGATGATCTGACATTCAAGAAACAGCCACGAAGAGACGCAAGGTTAACTTCCAGTGAGGAACAACCAATCAGAAGACTGTGCTTGTCTGCTTGAATAAGCTATAATAATGTACATGAAAATCTATAATTCACTACAAGTTCAGGCAAGTCTCATTGTTTTATAATTGATACTGGGAGTACTGAATCTATAATTTCTAAGAAAGATTTACAATAGATTTGTAAGAATGTCCAGATAGACCCTACTACTAGTTCAATTACAGGCATAAATGGTCGCAAATTACCTCTTATCGGTGCTACTAACATTTCTTTGAAATCAGACAGTGGTAATTTTGTAAATATTCCCTTTCTTGTTAGTGAATATGGTCCATCTTTATTGGGATTAAAAGCCCTTAGATTGGTAAATGTCGAAATATCACTTTGTACTGAGTTGTTTGACGAATCTTTGTTCAGAGAATTACTTCTCCAATGTTCAAAGAGTGAAGGTGGTATGAAGATTCAGCCCATCCATCTTGAAATAGAGGGTGATCCTATCTTCCTGAAACGCCGATTAATTCCATATGGATTGCGAGATGCAGTTAAGAAAGAGTTAGACAAGTTGGTTGAGCAAGGCATACTTATGCCAGTTAAGTCTTCAAATTGGGCTACTCCTATTGTTACGCCACTAAAGGCTGACGGAGAAACACCTAGAATTTGTGGTGACTACCGCCTTACACTCAATAGTCGTCTACTACAGCAAAGTTGCACTACTCTAGAAACTGAAGACATTCTCTACAAGCTACATGGCTCAAGATACTTTTCCAAAATAGATCTAAAGGATGCCTATTTGCAAATTCCTCTTGATGAGGGGTCTAGTGTATTAACAACCATTAATACTCCATTTGGATTGTTCAAGTATAAGTTCTTCACTTTTGGTTTAAAGGTTTCACCTGCAATATTTCAAAATGTAATAAATCAGATGATAGATGGATTAGATGGTGTTGAGTCATACCAAGACGACATTATAGTTCATGGTCCTAATATCGAATTGCATAATGAACGTCTTTTAAAACTGTTCAGGCGTTTATGTGAGAATAATGTTCTTTTTAATCCATCTAAATGTCATTTCACTTTGTCGTCTGTATCATGCTTGGGATACACAGTAGACTCTCAAGGTTTCAGACCTGATGCTAGTCGTTTGGCACCTCTAATTCAAGCACCGTCACCTAATAATATGTCATCGTTGAGATCATGGAAAGGTGCTCTTCAGTTTCACTCCAGATTCATTCCCAACTTCACTCAACGGTTATCTCCACTTTTTGAGATTGTCTCCAGTAAACAGTTTAAGTGGGAACAACAACATGAGAATATCTTGCGAAAAACTTTGGAGTTTCTTAATAAACAAGCTTTCCTAAGACCTTTTTTATCGAAAGATAAGTCTGTTCTCACTACAGATGCTTCTCCTATGGGTATAGCTGCAGTACTTGAGCAAAATGGACAACCTGTTATTTGTATTTCAAGAGGCCAAAGTAAGAGTAAACAAGGGTACTCACAAACCCAGAAAGAAGCTCTAGCACTTGTATGGGCAATAAGACACTTGCACAAGTATCTCTTTGGTACTAAGTTTCACATAGTTACTGATCATCAAGCTGTGCGTCGGTGGCACAGTGGTTAGGACTCTCGCCGACCATGCACATGGTCCGAGGTTCGAGTCCACGCCGACACACACCTGATATCTATGGTCGGCCTGCGAATTTTGGGCTACCGATAACCACGCTGAAAACTCCATACTTGTACCAAAAATACGGTGTGGAATCAAGCTGTAATCAAAAAAAATAAATAAATACGTGTTGATTTCCTTAATAAAGGATCTGCTGCCTGGCCCTTGTCTTCTGTTGTTACAATAGGACTAAAAACTATTTCCTTTAAGTTGAGCGGAGTTAATTCTCGATCTCGTAAATGAATGACAGTTCAAAACTCTTCACCAATGTGTTGAGATTCTTCACAGTATTTTTCTTGGAAATATATACTGCAGTATAAAATTTCAAATATTTAGTCTGACAAATAAAAAACAACAGACACACACACACACCTACTTACTTATCAATACAAAATAAAACGTATAAATAAATGAGTATATAATCGCATATCATTTATAAAAAATGTTATTTTATGTATAGCAGCATGTATCATCCTTACCACAAAGAAGAATCAGATCCTGGTGAGCATCGACTAACAAGAAGTTTAATCAGTTCACTTGTATTCATACGAAGGTAAGTATGTGGAAATGATAAGACCGCAGTAATTAAAGACACAACAAGTACTTCACGAACAGGATATTGACCTAACCAAGTAGATTTTCGCAAACGACAAATATATAGATTTGCCCGATTGAAAATAGTGCCAAAAATGCCCTGGAAAACAGAACATATTCATTCAAAATACAATCAGTTGTTAATTATATGTAGCAGTTATTTTATATAAAGAAAAAATCAATAAAGACATATTACAAACTAGAAGAAAAATGCAAAATAGCAATTTGGAGATTATAATTTAGTTGTAGGTATTTACTGAAAGAAATGTTGGTGGTTTCATTACTTTGTCTGTTTAGGTCGTCTAATCGGAGCATTGAGTGTCAACCTACTTGCCACATTTAGTCTTGAATTATGTGGCTAAGGTGTCAAAAGATGATGGATACCGTGAACAAAAATGCTATCCAAAAGGTTATTTACACTATATATATATATATTTGAATGGTCTTTTTGACAAGAACTGTAGATCATAGTAGGATCATAACCATGACATGTCTAATGAGACAGAAGCTTTATTCGTGTGCAGTAGTAGACTCGCGTGAAGTTATATCTCTTACTAAAGCAATATTTGATTTCCGGACTACCCATTCTAAAGTACCAAGAAATACCAAAAGTACATTTATCAGTCTGATAGAACACAGTGCACTGTATATCCTTCTCTCTTTCTCTCTCTTCCAAAGCCTTGAACCGCTGAAAGAGGGTTGTGAATATCACCGAAGATGATATGGGACAGTTGTTTACCATGAGGAATGTTACATTCGTTCTGAGAATGAACATTTTTAAACATACAGCGTTTTCAGGCTAGTGTGTAAGGAAGTTATTGTGGCGTCATTCGGAATCGGCTACCTTAGATTTCATCGGCTACGTATCTGAAATGACTGACCTATCTATAGTGTCTATTCTCTTCGGTAATGCATACGGCTCCAGCTGGGACTGCTGATTTTCCGTATTATTAGCCATACAAGTTTTACCTTACACCACATCTTTGAACCGTCACATTGTGAGCAGACATGTAAATACTCATGTAATTGCATTGAAAACACATTGTAGTCGAGTTGATGACTGATAATACTTCATTTGCTTTATTTTGTATTACGGGTATTACAAGTAAACTTATTTATGTCTTGTTCAAACAATTTCTGCGTTGTAAAAACCATTCTTGAGGTAATAAACTCTTCCGTTTTCCCATTGTTTACTAGTTTATCAGAGTATTACCTACTTTAATAACTCTCAAGAAAAATATCTACATTTTACTGAGGTACAACTTTCTGAAGATCGATGAGCACGCCTGAACTCTATACATTATTGCGAAATATAATACAAAAGTATGTGGATGGTAAGAAGCCAAGAAACCGAATCACATGAAGATTAGAAAAAGGATACGAACCAGCAGCACTACTAGGCTAGAACTAGGGATACGTTAGATTTAGAATTCACGATTGCAATGGACGTAATCTATCTTATTACCCGACAAGTAAATTCTACCTAATCTTCTTTTCTGTCTCTTCATTAGTATTATCTTGTCTTCTCAATTGTAATTTTTTTGCATTTTCAACTTTCTTGTTCTTTACCCCCACCCGATTTAATTTCTACACCTCACTACTGCTGTTGGTGACTTGACCAACGCTCAATTTCTAGTCCTTTATGCTACATCATCCAATTTATTTGCTCAATTTTAGTCCTAATTTAAATGGCACTATTCTCTACCCTACCTCTACTTAATCTCTACTTGTAATTACCTCTGTTGCTATCCTGCCCTAAGTTGAAACATTTTAGTCACTTATATTACGTCGTCATTTAACTTACTAACTCAATCTTACTTTAGTTGCTGTCTAATTAACCTTGTTTCTATATTAGATCATTCTTTAATTACCTGACCAATTATCTAAACTTGACAAACCTCATGTACACACACACCCACACAAATAATTATTTTTAAATGCGATTGTACACCTATGTGAACGAATTGGCCGAAAAGAGTCTCTTCGCTGAACGTCTTCTCTTTTTCAAGATTTAATTCTAGAAAATTGAAGTACATGTAAATTGATCATAAACTTTTCAGAATAATTAATGTATCGAATGATATTTAATCGAGTCCTATGACAAATCAATACTGACTTCACAAATAACATGCCTACATGGTTGTTTCATGCAAAGAATTCGAAAAAGTTTCTTATTAAATTTCTGACCTAATGAAATCAATATTACTGTAAAATATTCACCACTACACACTAAAATATTAATTATCCCGTCAGTATTTCAACAACAAATAAAGCCAAACTTACTCCAAGTAATCCAAGTAATGCAAACGGAAATAATTCCATAACATGCCATTGTGCTTGATAATCAACATAGAACATAATCATATTATCACTTCCATAAGGATTCAATATACGCAGGACATTAGCTGAGACCATTGCACAGAAAAATGATCGAAACATTGTTTTCATTGGAAAGTAGTAACTAGCTTCTTCTAGGGAGAAGAGAACACCACCGATGGGTGCACCGAATGCTACAGCCACACCAGCAGCTGCTGAAGCTGATAAAATCTAATATCAGAATAAATTAAGTAAGCGAGAGAGAGAGAGAAATGTAGCTAATAATTTAAATAAGTGTATTATTTTAAAAAGATCTTGTTACGAAAAATCATTAACTGAAATTTACTACAGATTAATTACGACTAGACATTTGGAGATTATAAATTGACAACTGTTGTTAGAAAAATCAAGGAAGTGACTTACATATAATTAGCAAGATGTTAATTAAAAATCGTGAGAAAAGTAAAAAACAGTTGGATGGCAATATGATATCACCTGTTAGTGGTTTGTCGAAAATTCTGCTAAGAAGTTGGACTACGTTACGTAAACAGAACTGTAGCTGTGCTATTGAAGGAGAATCAAAAGTTGTTTTTGATAATACTGAATCGAAACCTAAGAGTACAGTGATAGATGGAGATCACAATTACACCAAACGTAAATCATATTGTATAATTTCCAACTAGAAAGAAATGAGTAATTTGACTGATTTTACGTAACTAGGGAAAGTTAACAGATGAGATTGTGAAGCTGAATTGAATGAAACGCCTAGAACAAGCTTTTTTGCTTGGCAATCCATCGTCTTCCTCGTTGAGTAATATGTTATATGACGTATGAATGGTGTGGAAAGGAGTTAGGGAAATGATCAAATCAAAACATAACAACAATCTATGAAGTCCTTAACTGTTGTTTCTAGCCACGTAGACTGCATGACAGGAATCTGTGAGGCACTAAGAAGCAATAGACGGAGACAATTGATGACATGGATGACAAACTCTAAACATGTTATGCTTTGTAGAATGTTCTGCGATAAGAGTTCAGTTTATTCGTAAGATTCTGTTTGTCTTCCTGTTTTCGACATAGAACTTTGCACCGATGTCCAGTAGCTCAAGTCGCCACACTCTATGCAGCAAACAAAGCAACACAAGAAAGTAGAACAAATGCACAATGAAGACAGTAAACAGAAGTGTGAGACAAAGGAATAGTAATAACGAAGAACAATATAGTTCCATTGGAAATCATAAGTCACAGGGAGTGGATGCATCTGCGCTAGACATTGAGAACGATTTTGAGCCGTATCACCGATTGTCTCCAGCCATTGGAGATTACCACCCCGAGGACCCGACCAGGAAATCCACACCTTCCTACGTGGCTTAGATTAACTGTTGTAGATTTCATTGACTGGGGAACCCATGTTTTGGTTTGACCTCCGCTAGCCCTTTTCCAGCCTGACCCTGTGTCAGCTAACATTATCCGTCGAGGAAGGCGATGACTAGGCATACGTAACACACGTCCTAACCATCTCAATCAGTGTAGCTTCACAGCCTCGTCTATTGATTTCCCCTGCTTACACAGCGCTCGACTGAGGCCCTACCTTAATATTGCTCACCCGATTATACCACCTAACACGGGCGATAGAACGTAGACACCGATGATCAAAGACAGCTAGCTTTTTGATGTCTTCCACTTTCAATGGCCAGGTTTCAGCCGTAAACGAGGATGGAGCGGACTGATGAGCAGTACACACGCCCTTTGGCCGACAACTAGCCGGATATCACATCTACGCCAGAGAAGGCATAAGCTGGCATATGCGAAACTAGCCCTCTGTATCCGAACTGAGACCAACCCGTTCGGACTGGCTGATGCAACTTCCCAAATAAGTGAAGTGGTCAACACGCTCAGCCACCACTTCACCCCTGCCTGTCTCTAAGCTAAGAGTCAGTGTAGTCCAGTTCTTTTGCATCATCTTACATTTGGCGGGAGCGAATCTCATGCCAAACATTCGTAGATTGCAGCTCAAAGTGTTCAGAAGACTTTGCATTTTGTCAGCGTCCTCGCCTAGAAAGACTATATCATCTACATAGCCTAAGTCAACGAGATTATTCCCAGGTAACAAGTCAATCCCTGCATCGTTGAAGTCAGAGTTAAGTCCATTAGTGTCTATATCTATGATGAAATTAAACAGAAATAGGGATAATGGGCATCCCTGACGGACGCCACTATTCGTCACCACTTCAGATGAAAACTAGCCATAAGCTCTCATCTGGCTGCATGAGTTCGAGTAGAGTTCCTTGATCAGTCCAATGTATTTTCTCGACATTCCTTTACAGCCAAACATCGCCAGAGTACCTCTCAGTCGACAGAATCGAATCCCCGCTTTTAGATCAAGAAATATGACGGTTGTTGGACGTTCAAAGTATGTTTCAGAATCTGTCGAAGAGTGAAGATATGATCAATACACCCTCTTCCTGGTCTGAAGCCTGCCAACTCGTTCTCTCGTGTTTGAACCTCCCGTGTACTGCCTAGCCTACCCAAAATTATTGAGTACAGAACTTTAGATGCCATATTAGTCAAGCTAAACCCCCTGTGATTATCACAAGAAGACTTATCTCCCTTCTTGTCTATCTGGATAATCAATGACTAACACCAACCCGACTTTCTCTGATTCCCAGACGCCACCTATTACCTTAGTTCCAACATAGACAGTAAACTGTCTCCCCCATTCTTAAATACCTCTGGAATCATTCCATCAGATCCCGCTGCTTTACTTCCTTTCAGGCTAGCGACAACCTCAGTAACCTCAATTAGGGATGGAGGACTTGTATCTATATCCCATTCAGAGAGGCGTTGGATGTTCGTGTCTGTAGGCCAGTTAATCTTCACATCAAACTGTTGTTTCCAGAGTTCCAGTCGTCTATCCTGGAAGCTAATTATGGTGCCATTTTACTCAGAGATTGTTTCACTTATCGTTTGGCTTTTATCACCTGTTTCCGTGATAAGACTAAATAGTTGTAAGATTATAATGCGTCTTTTTAAAATAAGAATATCATCTAGGTATCAACTCATAGATTATCGCGAAAATATATCATATGATACAATTACGATTACATACAAGACAAATTGTTGTATAATGAAATAATAATGACAATAATACTACCATATGATGAAAATGAATCAAGCTAAACATGACATGTGAACGACTCGAATTATGCTATCATCAGTAAAACAGTAGTTAAAAGACTACTATATCAGATATGAACAAATTAATTCATGAATGATACCAGATTCACTTATTCAACTTGTCAGTATGCCGTGTAGTATTTCTCTGTGAAAAAAGAGTTACATATCCACGTCCTGGTTCAGGATTTTTACAACAACTAGATTGCATTATATTTTCATTTCGCAACTAAAATAAACAACTTACACTTTTCAACCCCTTTTCGTAGCATCGATAAGTGTACGAACGACACCTTGACATGATATGTAACACATATAACTTATTTGCATACATAAGTCATAAACATCGATAAACACGAGGACAAATAGAGTAACTAGTACAAAAATATACTCACTTCACGTTTTTTAGCTTCATTTTGACCATATTTAGGAAAGAAATAAGCAAATATATTTCCAACACATGCAGCCATATGAACCATAGGACCTTCTTTACCAAGATTTAAACCAGCACCAACTCCAAGTATCATACCGACTGATTTTATTAAAAGAGTCCATTTCCCCAAATAACCCCGAATAATGAATCCTCCAAGAATAGTTTTAATTTCAGGAATACCACTACCTGAAGACAATAGAACAATGAAAATAGAATTTGGTATTAGCAACTTCAAAATTTACCAAAAACAAAAACTTTTACCACACTTTGTGAACATTGGTCTGAGTTTTTTGTGTGAAACACACTTTTGATGACTAGGAAGTAGAAGGATAATTATTAAACCAACTTGAGTAACATCATTATATTACATCATATTACCATCTCTGATAAGCTATTCTTCACCTAAGTATTACTCACGAGTGCGTTTTTCAAGTCGGCACATGGTACGGCCGATGTACTCAATTCATCAACTTTCAAAGCTTCGTGCCTCTGAGAAGAAAGAGGAACCTGATATACGCTCTTTCCTTGAGGATTCGGAAGATGTGCAGCAAGGAAGTGATTGAAGAAGAGCTGCGTAATCTCCGAAAACCCTGATGGAAAACGGTTTCCCGCTCAGGTCCATAGACAACAATCCCAAATCTAAGAAGACTTCCGAACAAGTCCAATCCGTTCCAAAGAAAATACTTCTGCTTAATCTAGAATTCCAAGGTGATATTGAAGCAGGAATCCTTCGTAAACGCCTCTCCAAATCGCTGAGGAAAACATACTTCGCCGCGAGCCTACGACTGACGTTTTCCTGCAAGAAACTGTTCAGCCAGGACGCGAAAGACAAGCTGTCGCATTGGGCCACCTCAACGTGCATATACCAGTTTACTTGCTCTTGTGAAGCTGAGTGCATTGGCCGTACCACGCACCGACTTGAAAAACGCGCTCGTGAATACTATCCAGCCTGGCTAGTAAAAGGAGACCAAAAACTAAGTATTATTATGATTACGAATTCGATGACTGAGTATCAACTATACATTAAGTCTTTAACAAAAATGAATTGACACTACTACGCGTTATATAACAGTTGCAATAATCTCAGGTAATCCAGACCACTCGAAAGGAGAACATACTAAAGTTGTATGAAGTACTCTAGTAACTGTGCGTCGGTGGCACAGTGGTTAGGACTCTCGACGACCATGCACATGGTCCGGGGTTCGAGCCCACGCCGGCGCACACCAGATATCTTTGGTCGGCCTGCGAAATTTGGGCTACCGATATCCACGCTGAAAATTCTATACTTGTACCAAAAATACAGTGTGGAATCAAGCTGTTACCAAAAATTAAAAAAATTAAAAATTAATTATACTTTCATAGGAGTTAATAGTGAAAAATTTTAAAAATATGTTATGAAGATGTAAAGAACATTACATTATATCAGTTAAGTCTCATATATATGTTTTTCATAAAAAGCGATGTGCACTATAATGGTTTGAAGGTGAATGACAGAAGAAGAGATTTGAAACTTCAGCTGATCCTAAGAACCAGTGGCTGGAGAATATCGATGATATGGCTTAAAATCAATCTCAGCAGAGCAGATTCATTCAATCTTTGTGAACTGTGATATTCATTAAACCCTTGTGTTTTCCCATGTTACTTACTATTCTTTCTTCTGAATATTTCTGCCCATTACAATTCCTTTGGCATCTATTTTTCTTTTTTCTACTTTAGTATGGTGCATGAATTGTGACAACTTGAACTGGTACGCTTCTGTGTAAAATGTTCCATGTTAAAATTCAATCAAGTATTGCTTTTGTAGGGATTTTTTTGTTTGATTGAATGGAGGATTTCATCATGAGCTGACATTAGGTAGAGAACCATTGGAAAGCCTGGGAAGTACTGGACAGCTGTTTCGTCCTAGTTTAAGACTCTTCAGCAGTACGCACCCACCGCCACCGTTCGAACCCACGACCTTCTGGTTACAAGGCGAGCCCGTAGGCCATTGAGCCACTGGGGCCCGATCCAATGGTCCTTGAATTCTAACTTCTGCCAATTCACGACATAGCGCGACCATTTCACAATGTCTTCTTCGATGAGTTACTGCCTCATCTTCAACCTGCTGTACCCTATCCTTCAATCAATCAATCAAACTTATGTACATGTATTCAAATCATATCAGTGTAACTGGAAGAAATTTCATTTATCTGATCGAAACAGAACAGAGAATTGAAGCTCAATATACACTTCATATAGAAATTTATAGATAGAAACAGTTTGGAACGAATGTATGTTACATCATCAGCATTATTATTATTATTATATTATTGTATCCTTTAGTTCCTAGAGGAACATAGGGCTTCAGCTGCGCACCTCCATTGACTTCGGTTTTCTGACAACTTTTTCAACCTGCTCCAGGTCTGTCCACATACTTTCATCAGCATTAATAATGCATAAATTCTGTATCATCACCAGTTAAAGTGAATGAAAAAAAATAGCTCTAAATCAAAGCAAATCAACACAAGCGAAAGTACAAAAAAGCCTTGAAAAATATAAATCTGTCTGGTGAAATATTTACTACTTAGAAAGAAAAAATGACGTAATTAGGATATACTTGATTAATATTAATGAATTCATGTTTTATGTAGTCTGTTTACCACACATGGGTTGGTTAATTTGCATTCTACTTAATTCATGCTTCTAATTTACAGTAAAAAGAAAACATTACGAAGAAAAACAAAGAGAACAGAAGTATGTATTATTTAGAACAACACATTTAAGCGAACAATATTGTTTTCAATTAGATGTCATCAGGCTTAACCCTAATATACATAAGTTTACAAATAAAAATTCAAATATAAACCAATCATGGTGTTTTGTCAATAGGTTAATACGATGGCGAATATAAATTGTGCAATTAGTCATAAAAGTAGTAATGATAATGACTTCCTGTGATTCTCAGACACTTTCTATTACCTTACTTAACACAGACAGTAAACCATCTCCACCGAACTTAAATACCTCTGGAGTTATTCCATCGGGTCCCGCTGTAAACTTATATATATTATAGTTAAGCCTGATGAGATCTAATTGGAAACAATATTGTTCGCTTAAATGTGTTGTTCAAAATTTTACTATGGGAATATTTAATGTATATATTACCTAACACAGATTGATGAATTACATCACATTGGCATATACACACACACACACACACTAGTTACTAGTGTCAAACAAAAATATCCACTACAGTCCTGCAGGAGGTCAATCGCGAGTCCGAATGGCTCAGTGTAACGTCTCTGACTGCAGAACTGGGTGACGCAGGTTCGAGTCTCAGAAGGGGCATGAGTTTCTTCAAGGTTGCAGATAGGCCTTGCTGACGAGTGCCAACTAGCACGAAACCTAGGTCCAAGGCTTCCCGTGGCCGATTGCCTCCAACCATCTAATATACATGTAGTTCTAAAACGTTAGACACTTAGATTCTCTAACAGTATTGTCTTAACCTTCATATAAATGTGGCGGCTTGCTTGAATCACTGGGTTACCTGAATTTCAATCCGAGATGATGCATCTTTAGTTCTCGTTGTTCTAATCATTCAATTATGTCCATGGGTCACCAAATGTACTCATACACATTTTTAATTGGTTTGCGACCTACTGTTACTCATTTCTGGGGAATGAAAGTGAAAATACCATAAAGGATTGTTTTATTCTTCAGATCTAAGATCACTGAGTCACATGATGCACTGGAGATGGCTGTTTTACTTGAAACTCCTGGATGAAGAGTAAATATTATGCAATAAGCTAATGCATTTTGTGTAAACCTATTGAGCAGAATAAAGCTATTATTATCATTATCATTACTGTTTTCCCCTATTAAAAAAAACCTTTTCGAGTCATATCTACTCTCTTTTTCCTAAAGTAATCGTTCAAATAAGTTATTGAACACAGTCGGCTTTCAACTTTTGTATTAAGAAACAATTAGCACCAAATTAGTATCACAAAAAATTTTTTCTTTCAAATATAAAATGGAATGAGATATGAACACTGACTTTCAACAGCCGACAGTTTTACAAATTAGCATGAAGTTAGACTTTAAAAAAAGGCTACAAGATACTGGATAATTATGCAACGTGAAAGACATGAAAATAAATGGGGAAAACAAATAGGTGTACAGATTGTTTAACTAACTCACCACAAGCGTATGGAGCAAACATTCGAACAAGGAATACGCAGACCAATGCAAATAACACAGCATAGATAATATAGAATAAATAACCAACAAAATAAGCATCTGGATGTTCACCAGTTGGATCTTTACTTATGAATAAACGAGACCATGTAAACCACTGAAATATAAATGAGAGGGAGAGAAAAAAAACCAATAACAAACATTATAAACAGGAGGAAAAATAAGGACCTTGACGATTTCACAAAAGTGTTGAGATCAATCTCTCCCTGCCTTTATTGTGTAATTCATAATTTTCTAATTCAAAAAAGTAACTACAGTGGAAAGATTAACAAGACAAATGGATAAAGCCTGTAAAAAATATGTTCATTAATTACAGTATAATGTAAGGTTAAAAGCGACAAATGCAAATTTATTTAATAGGTGGCAACCAGTAGTGGAATTCAGGACTCATCTTCCGCCTTACACAATTTATGACAGTTGACTGTACTTGCATCCAAGTGAATGATGCTTTCCTTAACGATACTTAAAAAGTAGTGAAACAAAAAAAACATGGAATTCATAAATTTCAATGAACAAAGATGAAAGTTTGATTGAATGTGTTAGATGTTAAAATTAAACAATCAGTGTTCATCTAACGAGTTAAGACGCCGATGTTTAAAACCGATGAAAAATAATTTTGAACGTCAGTGCATACATACATATCCACTAATCTAATGTTCTGCTTACGGATCACTACTGCACTAGTGAAGCATTTCACTTTGAAATGAGGTCAGCTGAGTTTGTGCAATAAAAATCGTATTCATCTATCTTAGTTAAGATTACCAACATCATACACCTTTTTACTGAAAACGTTATGCCCAAAACTTTAGCACCAATAAAAAAGCAGTTCATATAGTTAGTAAGAGTATCAGTTAGAGAACCATTAGAAACCAATAAGTTCTGCACAGATTTTTCATCCTAGTTTAGGACTTCATCAGTATACAGCCATGACACTAGGACCTTCAGGTTATAAGGTGAGCCGTTGACCATTCAGTCACTAGGAAGCAATAAAATGGTCCGTCCGTTCTAACTTAAGTCAACTAGCGGTACATAGCGTTACCACCAGCCAGTATCATCAGCGGATATTTGTCCTCACACCTAACCAACCTGGCAGGCTCCACAGATCACAGCTTTTCACTGGGACTCCAGATAACTTCATCAGTCAATAGTGACCATTGGATTACTGTCCAAGTCTTAATTTGTGAAAAAGATTTGATTGAATTCAAGTTTGATCATGGCTTATCATCCAGTCTCTCTAACTGATATTAATTATCTCCCGTGTGAAGTGGTATAATCCGGTGAGCAATATTGAGGTTAGGCCTCGGTCAAGCGCCAGGTAAGGAGGGGAAATCAAGCGACGCAGCTGTGAAATTACATCGACTGAGATGGTTAAGACATGTGTTACGTATGCCCAGCCATCGCCTTCCTCGAAGGGCAATGTTAGTTCACATATGGTTAGGCTGGAAAACAGCTAGCGGTGGTCAAACCAAAACATGGGTTCCCCAGTCAATGAAATCTACGACAGTTAATCTAAGCCACGTAGGAAGGTGTGGATTTCTTGGTCGGGTCCTCGGGGTGGTAATCTCCAATGGCTGGAGACAATCGGTGATATGGCTCAAAATCGTTCTCAATGTCTAGCCCAGATGCATCCACTCCCTGTGACTTATGATTTCCAATGGAACTATATTGTTCTTCGTTATTACTATTCCTTTGTTTCACACCTCTGTTTACTGTCTTCATTATGCATTTGTTCTACTTTCTTGTGTTGCTTTGTGTGCTACATAGAGTGTGGCGACTTGAGCTACTGGACATCGGTGCAAAGTTTTATGTCGAAAACAGACAGACAGAACTGATGTTAATTAATCCCATTATTAAACTTAAGACTAATTAAATCCCTATAAACTGATATTTGAAAAATATAAACAACACACATTGTAGAATAATTTGAATTCATTTCATATACATATATCAACGTTCTAAATCCTCTACATATTTATTAGTTCCAAAATTTGAGTACATTTTGATAGTTTTAAATGTCATTGTCAAATAAAAATACTTTTCTTTTGAATATAATTCAATAGTAAAATCAAAAAGTCATTCTCATGTTGTAGAACTGAGAAAAACTTATTTTGTTTTGATTTTACTATTGAACTATTAATCAAATTATTATTTTTTTATTTGACAATGACATGTTAAACTAACAGATTATTGTATGCTAATTCTGAATGTAGTACGTATGTGGTGTGGACGAATTTAAATCACACGAAATGAAATGAATTGAATTCATCCTACAAAGAAATGGTTATTTTGAATACACCATTATATCAAAAAAAAGTTTGCAAGTACCGTTGGCTAATTTACTGGTGAGTCACTAAGGCGTTAAACACTCTACTTCGGAATAAAATGAAACTATCCACTTGATTTAAAGCAACAATTCAAAGCCAATCCACTGCATACATATACAAAAACTGCATTAGGTGATGAAAAACAGGGAGAGGTGCTAAATAAGAATTAATTGATATATCGAGAAGTGTAGAATGTGCATCATTCCTAGAATTACAGTCTGTAATTTGTACTTGAGGAGAGAATGTCGCAAATTCATTATTTTACTTGCACTTTTAAAAAGATCACATAGTATCTCAACGTTTACAACTTTAGGGGTGCTACTGTGGTGAGAGCTGGCTGTTAGTCAAAATTGGTGGACAGTAATTTACGTCAACGTTTATGTCCCAAATATTGGTCGTGAGAAAAATGAGAACAAAGGCTTTGTGTAGGCGGATGCAGTTAACATATAGATGATCTGACATTCAAGAAACAGCCACAAAGAGATGCAAGGTTAACAATCACAAAAAGACGGGGTCAAGTATACACCATCCAAAGAGGTGACAAACAGAAACGAGTTAACGCCAGTCAGCTGCAACGATGGGTACAGTGGGACAAGACGTTCCGTAACAATCCTCACTCAACTAGAGGATGTATCAACCAGAAGGTCGGAACGCCTGCGCGCGATGGTATTTGACGGGGGGACGAATGTGGTGAGAGATGGCTGCTAGCCAAATTGGTAGACAGTAATTTACGTCAATGTTTATGTCCCAAATATTAGTCATGTGAAAACAAGATCAAAGAATGACATCAGATTTTGCGTAGGCGGATACAGTTAACATATAGATGATCTGACGTTCAAGAAATAGCCACAAAGAGATGAAAGATTAACTTTTACTGAGAAACAAACAATCAGAAGACTGTGTTTTTCTGTTAACAATAATCTATAATAATGTACACGAAAATCTATAAATATGTGTTGATTTCCATAATAAACGATCTGTTTCCTTGCCCTTGTCTTCTGTTGTTATACTAGTGCTTGTTGCTTTATTTGAGATTCACTAGCTAGAAACATCTGAATCCAATGTGAGCGATGTTATTCCACTGAGGAAGAAACGTAACATCAGGTAAGTCATATCAAAATGAAAAACCTGACAATACTATAACTAATAATAATCACTTTATAGCAAACAATGTTCATTATCCAGAATGAAATTCTTAGCAGTTTCATACATATTGCAACAATTTAGCTGCTTTTGTGAATATGTACATAGATAAAATTTGAAATAATAATGATAATAATATTAATAATGAAATCAGAAACAAAACGTTGGTAGAAACATAGTGTGAATTATAAGCATATAATATCATAGATAATACATGTAATAATAATCTTTGCTTATACTTTGCAGTTCAGATTACTAATTTGAAAAGTCCTGAAGTTCTTTTCTGAAATCTGACTCTTTACACAAAACCTGTGCTAAATATGCCGTAGTAGAATTTTTATATTTAGTTGTACGAACGTAAATTTTTAGGAAGTTTCTTCTAGTTTTACCCAAAGAGATACAAGGCAAAAGTTGAGAATCACAAAGAGGATGTTCAGTATCAGACAAGATAACTTTAGTCAACTGCCGACAAGAATTGAAGTGCCTATTGACAATAATGTTAGTTAGCTGAGTCAAAAGCACATCACTAACCCTACTTACAGTCTTCAGTGTTCTACGCAATATGATATAATCTTTTTTTAAGAACTCCACGGGAGAATAAAGGAGGACAACAAAGAAGAAGAGGTAGAATACATGAATTGATAAACTGTAGGAGAAGAGCCTGAGTAATTCCAGAAAATGTCAACTTCGTTATGTAATAAGTCAAACGAAGAATTTTCTCGGAAATCAACAGGATATGGGACGACCAGCAGAGATACAAGGAGATAAATGTACGATAAATGTATCATACAGATTTGTACTTCAAGATGAAGATGGTATTTATTTGATGTTTCCACACACTATGATGGTTCATTGGTCAAATATTACAATTTTGAGATTAAACAACTTTCATTGGTTTACAATGATACTCTAATTTTCATTAGTTTAGTTTAACAAAGTAATATAATGAAAAACTATAAAATCTAATAATACATACTACGATATCTATTAGAATGTATACAGGTGGTTTATATATCACTTTGCACATAGTTATTAAGTGTTATGACTTCTTAAGTTTTTATATCGTCTATCGGGGGGAATTTCCTTTGTTATGAATCAATCTCTAGGTGAAAATGATGTTAGCACAACATACTGCGTCACTTGAAAGTTTTAAGATAAAAATTAAAAATAATTCAACCTTGAACCTTAAGATCTATTAAAAGTTTATCAAGTATGGGGGATTTTGTTCGATTGGTTGGAGGATTTCATCATGAGCTGATATCGGTTAGAGACGTTAGACTTCATGAGCCATTGGATCGGGTCCCGGTCTACAAACTCGCCTTGTAGACACAAGGTCCTGTGTTCGAACCCCGGTGGGTGCAGACTGATGAAGATTTCCAGTCTAAGATGACACAGCTGTCCATTACTTCCAATGGTCCTCTAACCAATGTCAGCTAATGATGAAATCCTCCAACTATTAAAAGTTTGTCAGAATACAAGAGAGAAATTTATACAACTGTTGAATAAGGCTAATCAAAGTTGAATAAGCAGTGAACGTGTGAATATAACCAAAAAAGGAGCATATCACTATTGATGTTTATTGACTCCGCATATCACAATTAAGTTGATGGAAGCATTGACGGCATCAGTTTATAAAGTCATAGATAGTCCATTTAGAGACCAATATTAGAAAGCATCAGCTACTGAGCTAAAAAATTATAAACGTTTAAAATCGATCTGTAACAATTTTACTGTTTCACTTCACTTTTTCTATTGCACAGTGGAATGTGGCACATTAAATTTTCCACCTCTAAATAAAAATCTTTGCAATATGTCACCACAGCAAACGGTAAAAGAAAGCCAAGTGATTCACAGTGGAGAGCTCAATGAAGCTTTCGAACTGAAGACAGAGGTACAACAAGACTGTCTACTACCTCCAATGATACTACAGATTGTAGTCAACTAAACCAAGCAACAAACCATGGGGAGCAAGAAGATGGACATAAAAGATGGAGTCATAAAAAACTCTAGAAGATTTGAACTTCGTAGATGACCTATATCTAATGTCACACAAACTAGAAAATATACAGGTGAGAAACAAAGAAGCTGACAGAAGACAGAGAGGAAAAGACATCAGGTGAAAATAGAGAAGATGCACAACGATGACCAACAACAAGCACCAACCACTGCCAGTGGAGGAAATCTAAAGGAAGTCACCTCTTTTAATTTTCTAGGCAACATCGTTTTAACCAAAGGTAGGCAGCCCGTAGAAGGATGTCAAAGCCAGTCAGTGGCAGAAAAGCTGGATAAGCGTTCATTACTTTGAAATCAGTCTCCTGCACTCAAAGGAATGAAAACTTCAGATTTCAAACACTAATGTCAAGTTAATTCTTCTGTCTTAGTACCACATAAAGATCAGACGGCTGGCCATAAAGGATTTGCAACAAACCAATCAGGAACCTATTGCCCAACAAGTGTGCTGAAAGAAATGGAGATGGACAGGACGCTGAGGGGACTGTTGAGTGACACAACATGCCAAGCTTTCGAGTGGAACTAAAATATGAAACGACGAGTCAGTCATCCGAGAGTGGTATGAAGAAGGCTGTGTCAAGAGGTAATGATAGCTTATGAATGACCGTAGGGTCAGATAAAAGGAGATATGCTGCTGAAACCCTTGTGCCGCACAGGACCCACGAGATAAAAATACAGATTATCAAAAATAAAATTGGTTATTTATTAACAAACCTCATCACAGACATCATCTGCTTGACTTGATGACCAACAACATTGTTCCCGGTTGAACCAAAAGGCGTCCAAACAAACGCCTTCTTTTAAATCAGACATCCAAGTAGATCCGATGTCAATAACACAGGCAATGAAACCCGTTAGCAAACCAACACACAATACACAAAACCATCCAGATGCTGAATCCCAACAGGCTTTTATTCCACCACAACATGTCTTCTATAATATAATTTTTAAAGGAGGATTAAAAGAATCAGAAAGTATATCAATTTCGAAATAAATTTATGAAATTATCTCAAGGTGGAAAAATGTAAGTCATGGTTTATAAATGACAACGCTTGCTTGTGATTTTGTTACATCCCTTTGAGTTTCAAGTGCAACATAAAGCTTTAAAGTTTTAGTAATGCCGGCGTTTTTACGGGGTGAAATTGCTAGTTTTACGTCTAACCTTTCCTCAGCCTACAACCGGCTAGGAGAAATTTACGAGTGCATCGGCTGGGAATCGAACTACGTACCGTCTCCGTGGTTGGCGGACATGCTATCTCTAAACCACCAACGCACTTGATATGTGATGCACAAGACGAATGTAGAAGACAAAACACCTGAGGAGATCCCAAACCACAGATATTAATTGGAATTTACCCAGCAATCATGCATTTGTCGTCAATGTACTACAAAACAACAACATACTGTACATTTATTCGGTGTTGAAATACGCCTATATCTTGAAAAGTATGAAACTAAGCTCATAAACCAGCAACTATGCCTTTTTTGGTTATCAACTGAAGGCCATACGATTTTTCTAATGCAAATATTTTATTGAGTCACCTAGAGCACCGCATGTACTATGTGGCTTGGGTCATACAAACTTCTCGGCTGAGATCAGCGGTATCAGAGAGTAGATAAAAAGGCCTAAAACTTGGTCATAATATTTAAAGCAAGTTGAATACCTTGCTACGTTTATAAACTGTATTGCTTTCAATCTGTTTTTCTTATTGAGACTATTCGACTAACAGCTTAATTATTTGACTTCCACTTAGTGCAGTGCCAGGTTCGAATTTCACCCCATCTATTTTGGACTGGGCAAATGAGCAGTATCGTCAGTCATCATACAAACAGATGTGCTTCATAGCATGGTACCGAGTAAGAGAGATCTGAGTCACTTACAAAATTCTCTATCCATTCTAATCCATCAGGCTTACACTAATCACTACAGTTTTATTCATTTAATTATTTGCTTTAGGTGTAAACTGTAGTCACATGCACTTTTTCTTAATTATTGCCAACCTATCACTCTGTGATTTTGTAAGGAATAAACCAAACACAACTAACAATTGCAAGGTACCTCAACATTGAACAATATTATATCAAACGACATATATTAAAATCCTATACACATGAGAGTATTTTTACGAGTTGATCACGGATTGATATCAGTTAGAGAACCACTGAAAACCAGCAAGGAGTACTGGACAGCTGTCTCATCAACCTAGTTTGGAAATCATCGCCAGTACACACCCACTGAGATTCGAACCCAGGACCTCTCGGTTACAAGACAAGCTCGTATACCATTCAGCCACTGGGACCCGATTCAGTGACCAGCGCATGAATTCTAACTTCTACCAATTCGTGATTTAGCGCGACCCCAAACCATTGTCGTTGGTGGGATATCCATCCACACACGTGACATCTATTTGGACCTCACTGGTCACAACTTCTCACTAGAACTCCAGTAAACTCCATCCTGTAGCAAGTCACTAGCGAGTATCAGATTAATTTCCTTATAGTTTGGTTTGTAAGGGTTAGTTATGTTTTTATGAGTTGACAAAACACTCAGAATTTTGTCCTGAACCTAAAAGTGATGTCATAAATGAAGCTATTATTATCATTAGTATTATTATACAAACAATTTTTTCCATCTTGATAGTTTTAACTACTTTATTGTTCTATATTATTGCAGAATGTAGTAACTCAAACTAGATGCACTTATGTAAAGACAACCTATATCCTTCTGTTTGTGTTACTAATCTGTCCATTACTCAACAAGTGCAATTGGTTTCAATTGTGCTTGCAATATAATTCAAGAACACATTTATTATATATATATATATATATATATATATATATATATATACAAAGAGCACTCGATGACGCTTTCAGTTCAACACTGTTCGTTAGGAAAAATGAAGTATTTGGAAAACACCATGTATGCACTGACTGCTAATATTCAACATATGAACATAACTCATATGATAGTTTCAATCTGACATTAAAAGCACATGAATAATTGATTGTCTATTTTACAGCAGATAACCTCACTTAAAATTCGAAAACTGTGCCTTCAAAGGCGATGGGATAGTAAGCAAACTAATAGTTGTGTGAAAGGTTTGAAGAGGGTTGTATGCTATATGCATGCGCGCCGCCCTGATAGTTTACGCGGCCCTTGTGGTCTAGTAGATAATGCTTGTAAGAATGGCCTATGTTAGTTCGCATGCCACCTCCAATAAAAGATTTTATGTCGGCAGAATGCTCGTCAACCATGCACGTGGTCCGGAGTTCGATTCCCGGCCGGTTAACACCTACACCTCGCTTAGCCTATAGTAAACCCAGTAAGAGGGAAGGTTGTGCGTCGGGCTAGAAACCCCATCTCGTAAGTAAGCATAACAACACCAGCTACTGAAACTTCAAAGCTCAAAGCTTGAAGCCTTATGTTCCACTCGGAACGCAAAAGGACAAAATAGAAAACAAACAAATAAATCTTCAACTGGACAGTGAAATCCCTATTCAAAAACTAACTAGGATAAATCTGGTTAGATAAAAACACAATGATACAGTAGTATTTATAAATGTCATTTCGGCCATAATTTATAGCTCATGATCACACCAAAACAATCAAGGAACTTTGCTTATATAAATCCAATTATTGCTTATTCTTTTATTTTATCGGAATTAGTATTGTCTATAGTTCATTGTCTGTATCAATGTCGTATCAATTCTACTGCACGTATCAGGTGTAGATTTGATGAACATAGATTCAGTGATCAACCTCTTTCCCTCCTAAAAAAGTCATTTTATGATGAGATTCTATTCTTATATGAAAAATTGACAAGTGTACAATGAAAACATAGACTCTCGAAAAGGAACGCGCTATGATTAATCCACATTTAAACGCAGAGTATACTGTAATCATCGTTAAACAGTTTCAATTTAGGAAGATACCTGTTTAATGATGTCTTTAATTGAAATTAAACACTCCAATTCTTTATATCAACTGTTTCAGAAAAGTAGGATGGGATGAATTGTAATCAAATGTGACTAACATATACAAGGTAATCAACTGACTCTAAACACATACTTATACAGATACCCACAACACAGCATACTCACGAGTTAATGAAATTGTACATCTCTTTGAGAATAGTTTTATTTTGAAATCTTTTACGGTAGGTTCCAAAGATAATTAAAATGCTAAAATACAATCAGATAGTGATTTCATCAGATTTACCAACTCTTTTATGTACAATCGCCTGAGACAATATAGACAGTGATACAACGTCGAAAATTTTATTCGCTGTACACCTACTAACTAATGAAAACAATTGAGCACTTCAGCTCTTCAAAGTTCACTAAAGAGGAATCCAGACAATTTAGGCGTAAAATGCAAATGCGAAGTGATTCAGCAACTGTATATATGTGGTGCACGAGATGTGTGGCTGGTCAAAACTCAAGCTTAGACATATGACAGTGAAGTTGAGAGTCGGTGAAAACAACCACCCAGACACTTCCACTAAGATTAATCAATTTTTGATTGGACACTAGTAACTAGTGTGACGTATCTAGTCCTTTCTTTGGTGCAGACTGAATTTTATCAGTCAGCTTTTGCAATGTGGCCACCATTCTAGGTAGCTCACAATCACGGCGCACATTGATTTGATGATATATTAGATAGTTGGAGGCAATCGGCCACGGGAATCCTTGAGCCTAGGTTTCGTGCTAGTTGGCACTCACTTGTCAGCAAGGAGTATCTGCAAACTTGAAGGAACTCATGTCTGATAGAATTCTGACTGATAGAATTCAGTCTGGACCAAAGAAAGGACTAGATACGTCACACAAGTTACTAGTATCTAATCAAAATATCCACTACAGTCCTACCGGAGGTCAATCGCGAGTCCAAATAGCCCAGTGGTAACGTCTCTGACTGCAGAACTGGGTGACGCGGGTTAGAATCTCAGAAGGGACATGAGTTCCTTGAAGGTCGCAGATACGCCTTGCTGACAAGTGAGTGCCAACTAGCACGAAACCTAGGTCCAAGGCTTCCCGTGGCTGATTGCCTCCAACTATCTAATAAGGTTAATCAATAAAGCACAAACCACCGAAATGATACCACCAGCGATTCAAGTTCATTGGAAAACTATATTGGGCAAACTTCAAAATTATATAACAAAACAAGGATAACAATAAAAAAACCTACTCGGTTCATATGTAATTCTCGATGACGACATCGATCACGTGCTATGTCCTTGACCCAATCAATAGTTTCAAAATCCTCATAATGTCCAACACTAGTAGATGTTACAGCAGAAGGACTGTGAATTGGATTCACATTGTGATATGGTGAAAATTCGTGATTTTGTCCTGAAGAGCATAGCAATGGAATGAAAGTTGAATAATTGCGATTCATTAGTACTAGTATTCTTTTGTCTAGCTATATGATAACCACAATATGAAATAACTAAGCCACATGGAACAAATTTGATATATGTATCAAATTCTGGATAGAGAAATTATTTTAATTATATATGTGGAGTTATGAGTTGAAGTCATTAAACAATCAATTACTTTAACCACAAATCAATGATTTCATATCGAGTAGTAGAGAAAGAACCAATCATATTTTATCAGACACAAAAATGATGGAAGAAAGAGTAATGGTTGGCTATAGTTTCCTCTTAAATTTACTTACCACCTCACTACAACATTGAAACAGGTTTGCCGGACAAGAAACTACAAAAACAAATCAGAAAATATAACGACAAACAATCTTTGCGAAATGGCTTCGGAAACAGAAGACACTAATAAACTTAAACATAACTCCGATAAAGATTGGTTCATTCACCTAGAAACAATGCATATTACACATTGAACATCAATGAAACAGCTCGAAGTGTCATTGGTGAATGAAACTGTAGGTGATCGAATACATCACAACGTTTAGTACTTCAGTTATGGTGCAGAATTTTCGAACTTTTCAGATTACAGATGTTCCAAACACATTTTTAATATTCAAGTATTGGTTTTGTAGGGATTGTATTTGATTGGTTGGAGGGTTTCATCAAGAACTGACATCAGTTAGAGAACCATTGCAAAACCTGGGAGTACAGGACAGCCAGTTGTTTCGTCCTAGTTCGAGACTCTTCATCAGTACACACCCACCGTGGTTCGAACCCAGGACCTCGCCTTGGAACCAGAAGGTTCTCCAATCAACCAAATTTCAAATATCTTAATGTGAGCTAATTTAGAATTAAAGGTTTCAATTTCACTATGAAATAGCGGTAAGTACTTAGAACTTCTTTATAAACCCAAAGCTGACGTTCAGGTATGGACATTAAAGCGGAGCTCAGCAATAAACGGCAACTATCTTTACCTTATTCAGCTCATCAATTTATCATCAGAGGAAATAGTGATCCACTACATGACACTGGGTACATTGTTGCTTGAATATAAAGGTAAAATCTACATTGAAGTTTCTAATGCTTGCGACTGGTAAGTCTATTGTGAGTAAATATCAAGCAGACCGTAAAATGAAAATAAGGTTGGATATAAATACAATGAGTTTTAAAACCAGAACCATTAAAAATAATAATGTAGCAGTGGTGATAATATTGGAATAACTAAAAACAAAAATTTCATTTGATCAATTCACAAATTCTGATCAACTGACTTATTAACGTAAACGTTTTCAGACCATTTTAAGTTGCTACACTTCAGAAAAACTCACATAAAAGTGAAAAAATGCAACGAAATCATACAGGGGAAGAATAATTAAAGGAAAAATAAGGAGTGCTTACAATATCTAAAAATGGGGAAAAATCAGTGCCTGCGAGTCTAGCATACTGTTCCCACTGGCAAAATGCAAAGCAATGTTAAAACACTAGCAAAGACTTGCGCCTGCGCTCATTCTCATTGATGGACAGTTTAAATAGGTCGCATATTTTTTGTTTATAGGTGGTTATGTGTGGGTGTAACAGATAAAATTCACTACTCCATATCAAAAACCAAAAATCAAAATACATCAATATAATTCAACCCTAGTGCCATAGCAACATTAAAATGACCCAAAAAAGTCTTGCTCAAAAGGCTTCAGTGCATATAGCCTCGTTCTAGGGCTGTGAAATAAATAAATTATCCAGCTCAGAGAACACAACGACATCAAAATCATACACCTGAGCTAAAAATCTCAATCATATGAACTCTTCAATATGAGGATATACAGCAACTTTGCAAGTTTCAGCATTGCCTCCTCCGTAATACCTCATGTATCCAGTAGCAAAACCATGCCGAAATTCCTAAGTCCTATGTCTTCGGACAAGGTAGAGATGGTCTTGAAGTAGATAGCTTTGGTTAAGGATATTGACTTCAGTGTCTGTGATATATGTTCCAAATTCCACTCGAAGAACATCCATACTGTTTACAATCACTTTGGATTGCGAATGGTTAGGCAAACACGAAGGGTACTCCACTCATGACATGAAATCGTGGGATGAGAAGTATTTACGTTGGGTTAGCATTTTTGTTGGTATGCCGAAACTCCCTAGGCGCAATTCGAGTGATTTTCTAACCCAGTGACAATAACTTATCAGATATGGTTTAAAACTGGAACCAATGGCGAACATGTTGTAATTTCTTTCCTTCTAATTCTGGAAGAAATATAAGAGAGTGAACACGTCTTACAATGCACCTGTTAAGAATGCTTACGTTTCATTTTTTTATGCCCCCTGCCCCAACTGTTTAATTTCTCTCTTTTATATTGCTGTGTAATTACTTTGTGTTCTACATTATTTGGTAGCAGCAAATGTATCAAGTTTGGGTTTAAGTAAATAAGGAAGAATGGTTAGACAACTGGAGCGTTCCTATGCCCCCTAATTTCAATGGTTATTTGTCACATCTGTAAAGTAAGATTACAGAACCCAATGAGCAGTATGCATGGATAAAATGAACTCCATAAACACACAGAGTAGAATAGAGGTAACAACAATTAATGCCAAGATTTTTTTCAATTATAAGAGTCATAATGCTGGGCCCGAATAGCTGAATAGTCTGCGAGCCCGCCTTGTAAATGCAAAATCTTGGATTCGAACCCTATTAGGTGGCTACTGTCAAAGAGTCCCAAAATAAGAGGAAACAGTTGCACAGTACTCCCTGATTTTAAATATGTGTTGGTGGCTCAGAGGTACAACACTCGCCAACCACCCACATGGTTTGGATTTCGATACCCAGCTGGTGCAACCCTTAACCTCGCTTAGAGGGTGGTAAGCCTGGTAAAGAGGGAAGTTTGGGCGTGAGACTAGCAACTTCATCTGGCGAAAAATAAACACCACTGCTACGGGAACTTCAAAGATCAAGCTTGAAGTCCTATGTTCCACGGGAAACGCAAAGGAATAAAAACAGTAATAATAATAAGCACTAATATTACCTTTCTTTAAATTTGACAATGAAGGTGAAAATGGTAGACGTCTAATACTCAAATTATCATTTACTGTTGAATTTGAAGCATCAAGAAGCATATCATCGTTTAGAATAGCAACTTTTTCATCGAGTGATTTAACTTTATTTGAATTATAAGTATCAGATAATGTTGAAGTGACTAGTGTATTGCTACTATCAGATAGATGGTGATGTACATTACTACTATTATTATTCAATGTGATAGTAGGATCTGCAAATGGATTTGTTGTCTCCGAAGATGATGAGTACATACTTCGAGGATATGATGAAGACGAATCACCTGAAAAGAAAGAAAAAAACACCAAAGATACACTTTTATATGAAAGATGAAAGCATTCATGAATCGAAACCCAAGGTAGACAAAATATTAAATGCACACAGTTGTGAAATAGGTGAACAGTAAAGTTAGATATTATTGGATTATTTGGTTGTTTCTTTTTTTATTAGAAGCAAAATGTTGGTTAGATTATGTAACGACTGCCTTAATATTCATTTGGAGCATAAGAAATGGATAATGGAAAAAAATCTACTGAGCACAAGGTTTTTAGGTAACACAACTAGTTATATTTCCTAGTTACATAAATGGGCGAGAGCTAAAGCTCTGAAGTTTAGGCAGCAGCGACTTTATTTTTTTTTTGTGGTGGGATTGCTAGTCTCACGCCCAACCTTCCTCTCTGCCAGGCTTATCATCAGCTAAGCGAGGTTTAGGAGTGAGTCGGCCGGGGTCGAATCCCGGACCACCTGAGGTTATCAGGTAAGTTAATACGACTCCCCAGTGAAAAGTTAGCTTGTTTTTTTTGTTTCAAACCGATTTTCTACCAAAGACGTAAAACAATTCACAGATTATAGCTCTCCAGTAATCTTATAACTTTTACTTTTTATTGATAATTGAGAATACTTCCGTATTAGTCGCCTCTAAAAGACCGCTTTAAAAACAAACAGCTTTCATATGGACACATCTTTCTCTCTAAATCAATCAGCCAAATTCAACTTTTTGTGCGTTTTGTAAGTCACTGTTGACTTTGAAGTATACACTAGAAAACAGTCGTGTATATTCACTCAATTGCTAACCAAATATATATTACATTTTAAGATCGAAAGTTAACTTGTGCATCATATCATTTTTATCTGTTAAAATAGATTGGTTAGGGGTTAGCAGTTGATAGGTAGCTTTAAAAATACATTTAATCCTTGTTGTGAATCCTTTTGACAATTTGAACCTGACTCCCTAGTTCAAAAGTCAGAACGTTTGCCAATAAGTAAGTAAAATGGAGGATGAATACCTGAAAAATTGGGTCAATAACATGAATCAATCTAAGAAATGATTGTTATAAAACTCTTGAGACTAATTGGTGAATTTAAACTGGAATACGTTGGATCAGATGGAGAAAGAAATATTATTAAAAGGAAGACACGATATGACTTTTTAAGGAAAATAATAACAAAACGTATCATATATATATATATATATATTAACTGATTAAAAATGCCCATTAAAATTTTCAAAAGAATAGATACTGAACAAAGAGTACTCTTTTCGATAACCCCTTCATCAGGCTCCACATTTATACATACATTATAGTGAACGAATGAATTAGTGTTATGAACGATATTAATGTTTAAATAAAATAAAATCAATAATATTGACAGATTACAGCTGAATCGTATCAACACTAAATAAGCTGAATGTAAGAAGAATTAGGAAGGATAATATTACAAATTCATGAGTTTATAGCTTTTACTGAAGGCCAGGGTAATAGTAGGGGCTGGAATTGCTTCTTTTGGATATATATATATATATATATATATATATATATATATATCCCTAAAGTACAATATACTTTTGAATAAAATCTCAAAATATTATGGGAATTATGAGACGGAAGATAAAAGTGAAATGAACCAATAGCTAGATAATAAAAATAACAGTAAGGATTACTCTAAGTCTTCATACAAAAACGATTTAATGAGAAGGAAAAGTCGCACTTGACATGCACTAAGGTTTACGGGTTAATTCTTCCATGAAAATCCACCAAATTCTCTGTTACCTTTTTTCTAGTCGATGCAAATTGTAGTGAACAGTTAAAGAAGCTATTTTTTATCTATGGGTTTTGAAAGAATTGCAGTATAGTAAAAGATGAAAACGTCTATACGGTTTGAAAAATTCGGGATTTCTGTCCAACCTATTGATTATGTGACCACTGCTTCACATCGATTTATTATATTGACATGGATTAACGCCTCTAGTAGATAGACAACGACATATCGATACTTGTCCACGGAGTTAACATTTAGATAGTCTTTGGTAGAATGCAATTTTAATACATTGACAGGTATTAGAATTTTATCTTCGTATTGTTCAATACAATATACCTACTACTGTTTCCAGTGATTAAACTTGGGACACACTGAGTTCAGTGGTAACAGTGATCTCGAAGCATTATAAAATCGAGTCAAAACTGCATATTTAGTACCTCATACCAGTATAACTATGGAATTTTGAAGGTGAAACAAACAGGTTAGTTATATTATGCGGTTAAATAGAGGCATCACAATAACCACGGAAAAGGTGAAGACGAAAAGTGATGGACTAACTGGTTTTAACATAGAACTTCACACAGAAGTATAACAGTTCGAGTTACCCCACTTCATGTACCCAACAAAAAAAGACAAAAGGGAGAAAAGAAAGAGATTCAAAAAGAGCAATAAAAAGCAAAAATGTGAGGGATAAAGAATAGCAACACGGAAAAACATCACGACTTAGTAAATATGAGATATACTTACTTACTTACTTTACTTCGGCTATCTCCTACGGGAGGATGAGCCGGCTTCATGAACGTCTCGAATCATCGCTGCCCAGGCGCGGCAATTTGTAAGAGAGTTCATGAAGTTTCATGGGAATTTGGTACGAGTGATGTCCCCAGCATCGCTCGGCCTTTTGTTTGAGAGTGCAGCTCTAGCCTTTACACAACCAAGTGTGACCTACAAGGCAGTAGGAGTGAAGTAAGGAGTCCACTATCCATTGGCAGCCGATGACCGGAGTTCGGTTCATACGCCTTTTTGAATGGGGCCAGACATCCAGGACATCCAACAAGCCATTTGTCCATACGTCTGCCGGTGAGCTCCAGTGAGCTTCATACGCCAATCGTTGGAGGTTTGGAATCAGGGTTTAGCCATCTCCCCTAGACTGTCATCCAATGGACAGTCAACCCGGTGGAGAGCGCCAGGCATCCGCTTTCGCCCTCTCACTTTGGTGAGAAACACCTCCGCCACGTGAAGGCAGTGAGTAGGACTTCCTCAGGAGAGGCTATGTAAGACGCCCGGTCATATGGGAGCATTTCAAGAGGTGTGCGGAGGGGTGGCCAACCCGCAGCGCAAGGCACCCACCCCCGACCATCCTGAGGCTTTGGAGGCCATATCACAAAGAGTGAATGCACCAGGGCCGTTGAGAACGATTTCGAGTCATATCACCGACGTTCTCCAATCGTCGGTTCTTGCCATCGCGAGGGCCCCAACTAGGAAGTCTTACACCTCCCTACGTGGCTCAAAGACGAAAGGCATTTTCTCATCTATCTGTGGTTAATGTGCTCACAAACATGGGTCCATTAAACAAGTCTCTGATTAGTTACCAATGCTCAGTAGAAAATGAATACATGTCCTAATGGGAATTCCCCGTGAACTAATGATAAGGATAACATCCCAAATAGCAAATAATTCAATGAAAGATTACGAAATCGATTTCTCAACGTTCCGGAAGAACTTTTTAACTAATTCGAAAAATAGAATGAATTTTTACCAACGACAATGTATGGTGATCCAGTTGGACCAGTAAGTTGAGAAACTGGAATGTATACGCATCGGATAATAACACAACTTGTGATGAAGAAGCTTCAAACTAATCAGTTCATATTACTAAGTGTAACTCGGCCCAATACGCAGACTTGGTAATGAGTTAAATTGTTATAAATAGGTGCCGGGAACTAAGATTAACCTAGTAGAGAAATTCAACGAGTAGGACAGGTGAACTGGTATTGTCATACATCAGTACACGACCCTGAATGGTCAAAGAAATTAATAAAAAGCTTGTGTATAAAGTCAGAGGGAGATTCTTTAATTTATCAATAAATTAAGACTTGATTTAAGCTATGCTAACACAATTCAAAACACGAAGAGGAATGAAAGCCATCGAAATATCCGCGAGCTCACATCCAACTCAAAATTTCCCTTACATGTTCTTTGTCTGAGTAATGACAGCCACACAAGTGAAGTACCTTAGTCGCAAAAGAATTCAAGAAACAAAATACAAGCTTTCACATAAACATCGATCGAATGAAATGCTTAAAAACGGACAATTATTCAAGTAGAAAAAACAGACCGTTAAACTGTTCAGAGCTCTTTCACTTAAGACAGTGTCTTAGCATGTGTTGATTAGTGATAAAAGGTCATGTCAATTCTCATTCGATGTAGTTTAGATAATTTTTCTGACAAACATTTTTAGGGCGTTTATGTACAAAAATTAACGTCAACATTAGGCCAAAGAGAAATAAATTCTCCACTATTAAAACACATACACCCTAATAAAAATAAAAAGACAGAAGACTAATAAAAAATGGAAGTTAGAAGGGAGCTCGATTTTTACTTGAAACACGCGAAGTAAGGTCAGAATACAAATAATGTAGACCACAAAATTATGCAGCACTAGACAGATAAAGCAGACACTAAAAAAAATAATAGCAGGTTACTAAGAAACGTTTGAATTTAAATATAGCGCGTATAGCTGTAAATTTTCAGCTACACTACGAATGCATAATAACGGTGAGTAGTAAGTATACACCAAGCACCAGTATTGACTCAACCAATGAATCATAGGATATAAAAAGACGATGAATGTTAGTTTCAATCGACTGTACACCAAATTAGCGCGACTTTGCAACATATGCAACATAGAATCACACCATCTTTTTATTGATTTTGGAACCTTCATCTTTTGTCGGTTTGATGCTATTTATCAGGTTATAGCTAGCAGTAGAAACCAAGGAGCGCATCTTTTACCATTTCGGAACTCTTCATACGGAAGTGACAGTTCCACAAGAGATGATTCTTAAGGCTCAGCAGCCTAATGAGATAATGCTTTGGCATTTGAAAAGATGAGTACTGACTTTGATTCTCAATAGGAATAGTATGCGTCATTCACAAGGATGCCTGTCTATCCAGTCGAGACGTCCCAAAAGATGCAAAGCACACGCCCAGGATTCCACTGTTAGTTAAAATTTTCAATTACCACCAAAGTGAAATCAAAGATATCAACAAAACATTCATTCTAGGAGCCGACAGGTCAATGGAAGTCGATCACTTCTATTCAGTAAGGACAAAGCAACCGGAAATGAAGTTTTTTCAAGAAATCACTAATTTATTTTAAATATTTATGAATGGAGTTATGTAGATTAGATTAAAGACAAGGATCTAATCAAAGACAACTCAATTCGTTTGAGTTTGGTTTTGAATTTAACTATGTCAACATCAAAGCCAGAAAGGCGAGACAGATATTTATCACTGCTGAAATCAGTTTGTAGATCTTCTGCACACAAAATAAAGAATAAAATTCAGATTTTTAACACCAATGTTAAGTCAATTCTTCAATATGGGTCGGACACTAGGCGCGTCACGAAAAGCATCTCCAACAGGTCACTTCACAATTTTACCAGCAGTTGTCTTAGAGCGATACTGAAATCAGATGGCCGGAAAAAATAACAACAAGAAACTCTGGGAAAAACCCAATCAAGAACCTATTGCTCAACAAATACGCCGACGAAAATGGAGATGGGTCGGACTGAAGAGATCACCGGAAGACATCGCAACCCCGGGGCCTTTGGTCGCATGAAACCCAAATGGGAACGACGAGTTGGGTGTCCGAGGGTGGCATGGAGGAGAAGGTGTGACGAGGTGAAAGCTTATGGCCAATCGTGAGGACGGTTGAAGAGGATCGCAGAAGAATGGACGAAACGGAGATGTACTATTGAAACCCTATGCCCCACTCAGGATTCATATATAATATATATTTGTCTACTACATACAGCTTATGTACAAAAAGATGAAAAATACCAGAAACTAAAAGGTTTTTTAGACTAACATTCCTACAGTGATCATGACTGTAATGATAATTGCAAATGCATAGGATTTCACTTCATACAAGAATTTCGAAACCTTAAACTAGTTTGCCCATCTAAAAATATCATTATTTGAAAGGTTGACAACGTAGAAAGAAAGAAACAAAGTTAAGTATGAGTACAACACAACAAAAAGAGCGTAGAGTCGACAAGCGATTATGAAAGTATACACGTGATTAGCTCACCATTTTTTAATCTACCACTTGAATAATATCGCATTGTTACTATAAAAGTCAATTAAGACGATTGGTACAATAATGAACAGTAAAGATGTAAATGCTTATGAATATATACATATATATATTCCATAAATTGAAACAAAAGCTGTATTGATTCAAATTCTGAAATGTACTTGTTTTATTGATATACAACAACACAACACATCCCCACATGAGCAGTAAAGATAAAAACAAACTAGTAATGATAAGTACCATCGAGTAAACAAGTGTAAGTGTTTAGACTAATTTGTTATTTAGATTTATGTTTTACTTGACAGGTGATTAATGTAACCAATCAGGAGGATTTAAATCATCACAGACAACAACACTTGACGTCATGTGGTAAACCGTAGATATATAACTAAATGTTAATAAAGCTATGCAGCTAAGTGTTTGTTCGTACACTAGGTAATAACCATGGTTATTTGTCTAAAGACTAAATATGCTACTTGACTGTTCTAATTTCAGTAGATGAACAGGAATCCACAGCTGTCATCAAAAGGCAGAAATTCAAGTACGAACCTGATGATGAATCACAAAGTACAGAAAAGTGTGTGAATTCATTTCATCAAATTATTAGTTTACTTCTTTGATTTGTGATGAGTTTATCATTGTAATCAATTAATCGAAACAGTAGATGCACGTTAACCAAATAATTGCACATGTTATGAATGCAGTTTCTGAGGTACTTTAATATATTTTATTCCTAGAGTTCTGAACAAAACACAAGGCTTCAAAGTTTGAAGTTTAGGTAGTCATGATGTAGCTTTCTTTTACAGAATGAGATTGTTAGCCTCATACCCAATCTTACCACTTTTCTGGGCTAGATGTGTATCGGCTGAGAATCAAACCCCGGCCTCCTTAGTGGCTGGAGAATAATCTACCACCGAACCATTGATAGCTAATGCATACTTTTTTCACTGCGAATTAATCTACGATGTGTATGCATATAAGGCACTTACATATGACTACTTTTCAAAAGACATACTTCCCAATATACAAATCCAAACTAGAGACAGTTAACTTGTGTAACTTCAACTTTTACTACAGAAAATCGGTACCCAACTCAATGTGTGCGTCGGTGGCACAAGGTTAGGACTCTCGCCGATCATGCACATGGTCTGGGGTTTGATCCCCAGCCAACGCACAACTGTTATCAATTGGTCGGCCTGATAAATTTGGTCTACCAATATCTTACGCTGAAAATTGCATACTTGTACCAATAATATGGTGGAATCAAGCAATAATCAGAAAACTGATTCATTTCCACCTTAAAAGAATTTGTCATCAGAATATTAGATAATTAAAGATAAAATATGCAAATTATTGTAACGTACAAAAATGAATATCCTAAAAAAGGTTTAACACTGAACATAATCATAATATGATTATGTGTAGTAGTGTGCGCCTGTAACAAACTCCAGGGTGACTCTAAAGAATAGCGGCCCAAACCGAAACGACCTTCGAACAAAAAAGTGACCTTGAGCAAGGAATCAGCTAACTGTATCAATTGCGGAAGTAATCATGGATGCTTTACACCTTATGCGTTGCAAATTCGCTCCAGATCATGTGTTCGATTACTGTTTGGACAACGGATTGATAGCTAAGTCGAAAATTTGCCAGTGCGGAGGGATTATGCAGATACAGAAATACACAGAGGCCATTGATGGCTTTGTCTATAGATGTATTGAGTGCCGAAGGAGGAAATCGGTTCGAGAAGGTTTGTCGTTGTTTTTTAGTTTACAGATCCCTTAGGAACTTTTTTCTCTAGGTCTAAACTACCTCTGACGAAAATTTTAATGATATGTAACTTCTGGGTCCTGAAAAGACCAGTTACAGCTACAGCTTACGAAACAGAAAATTCAGAGGTGTCGGCAGTGCAGTGGTACAATTACTGCAGAGATGTTTCTTCGTGGAAAATGAACAGTCTGACTCAAGTTCTTGGAGGAGTCGGTGTAATCGTACATATTGATGAAACTGTATTGATAAAAAGGAAATATAACCGAGGGAGATTAAAATCCAACCAGCAGTGGATATTGGGTATATACGACACAACACTACGAAAAGGGTATATAGAGGCGATTCCAAATCGCAGTGCAGGTTTATTATTGCCTATTATTCAGCGTTTGGTGCTGCCTGGGACGACTATTCACACAGATGAATGGAGTGCCTACCGTCAATTATCTAATCATGGGTATATTCATCATGTCGTCAATCACACGGAGGGTTTCAGGAATCCTGTGGATGGAACGCACACTAATTCCATCGAAAGTTTGTGGAGTCGTCTAAAAAGACGGATAAGGGCTGTTAATGGATCAAGAAATCCAATGATTTACAGTTATCTAGATGAATTTATGTACAGAAACTGGTTTAATATGACAATGAAGACTCCTATGAGAAACTGGGAGGTTTTTCTGCAACATATACGCGAATGTTATCCTTTGTAACTGTTTATTATGACTACATTACTTTTATATAAACCGTTTTTTACAATTATGCGCCTTTCTTTGTGAGCCTTCTCATTGGTCGAAGTTGTCCCTGTCAAGGTCATTTTTGCGTCTAAAGGTCGTTTCGGTTTGGGCCGCTATTCTTTAGAGTCACCAACTCCAGTTAACAAAAGTGTATCATATTGTGGTATATCAAACGAATACATTTTACATGGAATCACACTCCATTACAAAGCCTAATTTCTACTCTAGTATTAAAAAAAAACCCATCTTGATATGAAAACTAGTGTAGTTTAAACATACCTTGATTTCAAAACTTTCAAACCTTGAAGTATAAACCAATTACGCGATATTGAACATTACACCATTTAGTAGATGGCAAAATTCAAATGTAAGTAAGTGTCTACCCTTTTTATTCGAAATATCTATTCAAAAGAAATGAAAATTTAAATAATAATAAATACGCATAAGTAAACACAACGACAGAACATTTACAATTAACTTTATACAATAAATGACAGAAGGGATGCTATTCAACAACTACTTGCAGTTAGCAAGGAGCCACAAAAGATGTGGTGCATTGCTATTGTCTAGTAATACTACCTGGTTGCCTAAAGCTCGGTAGATGAGGCGAGGATCGAATCCGTGATACAGAGGTCGGTGATAAAAGTCATGAAGTTACTTCATAATCACTGATAGCTTCGTATTTAAACTACTAACTACACTAGTGTTGAAATAAAGTGTATAGTACACTGAAGAATATTTCCAGTGGCATATCAGAACGTCTAACTATCCGTCACACAAAATTCAAATGGCCAATAGTAGTTCTTATGTATTCATATCATACCTTAGAATTGTATTATTGTACAATAGTTTTTGTTCCTGAGTATTTTGGATGTCTAAAGGAAACCATGATGTCCTACCTTAAAATGTGTATTTCGTAAATAACCAATAGAGAGCACCACATGACACTCCTGTCCACAACATTTACTTATACAAACAGTCCATTCAAACATGTCTGTCTCACAAAGTCTAAATCAATCCATCTTTTTATGCCAATTGGTTGACAATGCCGCTTTTGACGAATAGTCTTATTACTTAAGCCAACTTTTCAATCTAGGACATATTAATCATGGGTTATTATTATTATTATAAAAGAGTAAAATAATAAATAGTAATGAGAATCAGCAGTGAAACACACAAGTCAGTCCATAGAAAAGACAAACTAATGACAGAAGAAGAAGAAGAAGAGAGAAGCAGTCATAATCTAAGCAACAGTTTTATTATTCATTCTCAGTAAGGTACATCCATAATAAATATACAACATGATGTATATACAGAAATAAGAAGAAAAACAAAACAATAAATTACGTCATTTACAGCCTAAACATTTGTGTCTTTTTTTGTTGCGTGAATGCCAAAATAATAAGATGTCTGTGTTGTGTTGTTTTTTTTGGGGGGGGGTGGAGGGGTGGCATTAAAACAATAGTTCACTTCACACTGTTGTTCACAATAGATACTGTAATAAAAATAAATAAAAATAAAACAAGACAAAACAAAACAAAAAAACAAATCAGAAAGAAGTAGGTAATATGGAGGGAAGCTGGGGAGGTGAGAGAACCAGGGCTGGGCTGGTTTTAAATACAATGGATTGAATCCTAGTACATAACTCTGCTGTAACGATACTGGAGTGGCATTGGTTCAACCTGGGGATAAAAAAAATGCATAGAAATATATATATATGAATATTAAGTAGAAAACGGATGCAAATAACGATTGATAACGCAGACACAATCGCAATGGTAAACAAAGAGAAACAGGTGAACATCAGTGAGTGCCGAGATTTCAGACAGCAACACAAACGAACAAAGCCCCTAGAACCAAGAAGACCGAACCAACTTCAGTCGCAAGTCTTTGACGGGGGGACGAGTGTGGTGAGAGCTGGCTGTTAGCCAAAATTGGTGGACAGTAATTTACGTCAATGTTTATGTCCCCAATATTGGTCGTGAGAAAAGTGAGAACACAGGCTTAGCGTAGGCAGATACAGTTAGCATACAGATGATCTGACATTCAAGAAACAGCCACAAAGAGATGAAAGATTAACTTTTACTGAGAAACAACCAATCAGAAGACTGGATTTTTCTGCTAACAATAATCCATAATAATGTACATGAAAATCTATAAATACGTGTTGATTTCCTTGATAAACGATCTGTTTCCTGGCCCTTGTCTTCTGTTGTTACAGGTATCATTTCACTTGTGGATGTCGTCACAAACCAACATCTCTAAGAGATCATTGAAAAGGGTCATTACATTTCTGCCCAGGTGGCTGAATGATCAATGAGTTTGCTCTGATGTAACATGAAGGTCCCGAATTCGATACCAGGTAGGGCAGTGGGGTGTGCACTGATGAAGAGTTCAAAAATACACCAAAACACCTGTTCAGTTACTCCCTCATTTTCAAAGGTCTTTAACTGATGTCAGTTCGTGACGAAATCTACACTGAAATTGATCTCAATCCTACGAAAAACTATCATTTAAATAAGCAAGGGATAAATTATGAAAATCACATGTAGCAAACACACACACACACACAAACGTTGACACTTACTTCATTCCAATAAACAACACGAACAAATTTCAATACATGATCACGACCGAGAAATGTGCCATCTTCATTATTCAGGATAAAGATGTCAATCTAAACACCACGGGATTGAAAGAGATGCATACAAAAGGATCAGAAATACCTTCACTCACGGGATTGTATATATACTTAAGAAAGAAGTTAAGAGTGACGACTTTACTATTAAGGTTAACGTACATAACACATGTGTGAGTGGTCGGATTTCAGTGACCAAAGTTTTAAGATTCCCTAGTCAAGATGGCACTCATAAGCAATATAATACTGAAGGATGAGTGCAGCCATAGGCTGTTGCCAGTCAAAATTATTCTGAGTTCGACGGGACTAAGTGTATATAATACTTGCGGACACTGGTCTCCTGGTATAGTAAGACGATATAGTCTGCATGATCAAACAATCTATCCAGTTCATTGATTAAAATCTGTCCTGCATCTTTAAGAAATGGTGACAGCAGTCAGTTGCATGAACTAGGTAACTTGTTGAGTTTGGAATTTATTTCTTAAATACACTTCATTAAGTGTGGTTCGTTGTTAGCCGACCACGGAAAGCTACTTTATGGCGGAGAACAATAAGGATGGGTACTAGTTATTGTGTTTATAAAGAACCCTTAGAAGTGTTCCAAGCATCTGTGATATACGATTTACTTCATGTACCGTTACAATGACATTAGGCTACTTGCTGTTGGTGTTGTTACTGAGTAGGAAGGACTTCCAACTATAAATATATGCAACTACCTCGGCCATTCTGTAAGTAAATAACTCTCGTAGTTGTTTGGTAAGCATTTTGTAATTCTATTTGTAAATGCCTAAACGTAAGATGGGAGACCAATACAAGAAAGAACACCTACAGTTAAAACACATAATTCAGCAACAACTCAGTATGAGTAATAACCGTTACAAAGCTATGAGAAGATACACCACCACAAATGTTATTGCCACTGGGCTAAAAAACCGAATCTATAAAGATTTCACTGATAAAACGTTTTGTAAATCAAAGCAAAGATAATTACCCATATAACTGAGTCGGCAGTCCACCAACCGCGCAAGTGGTCTGGTGTTCGATTCCCAACCAGTAAAGAGGCGAAGTTTGGCACGAGGCTAGTAACCCTAACCTACAAAAAGATAAACTACCTCTACTAAACCTTAAAGATTCTAGCTCCAAGTCCTATGTTCCACTCGGAACGCAAAGAAATGAAAGAATGAAAACAACTGTCTGAATAAGATTTGCCAGCTTCTTTGAAGGTAGAATGATGCCCAGAATTGTGTTATATGCTTTGTGTGGAAAAATTTAAGCTTGAAGAGATAGAAAACCTGTAAGAACATTTAAAACTTCAGTTGCAAAAATATCCACCAACATGAATATCTTATTACACATCGAATTTCGGACTATAAGCATAAGAGTACAATCACAAAACAGATGAATACAAACGATAAGGAACAACAACAAAAAAACTTACTTCATGAAATTTAGATATATCACGGAGGACTTGTTGTGCAACATACTTCCTCAAATGAGTTACTGTAGCCCTTGACGAAAGTCGTAAATACTTATCTGCTAATGGTTCAAGATTATCAGAGCCTGGTTCAAGTTTTATATTGACTTGTTCGTCTTTACGATGATAATCAGGATCATAATTCGCAGCTAATCCATCCGAATCAGTTGGTAAATTACCACCAGTACCATTTTCTTTACTACCTGAATTATGATTTTCTTTACCTAAATCTGATCATTTTTTAGAGAAATTAAAAAGGAGGCATGAACAGAAAGAATTAGCAAAATAATAATTGTAGAGTGAAGGCAAAAATACCAATTTAAAAAATCATTTCAACCTGGAATAAATAATACAGGTATTTCAACTTTGAGTTATGCAGAACTACCGTTTAAAAAAAACTGTCTTCAAATACGTCAACTGCATCATGATAGCAGACGCTAAAGGATTGAGATTTAGAAGAGGAAAAATAAATGCTAATTAAATATATCCACTACTATAAAGTGGTTACTGACACTGAAATAAACAGCCCTACAAAATAATAATACTATAGACATCCTTTAGTAGTATCAATTTCAATGCTACTATGCAAATTTTTAGCAAACTAATTAATGGAAAATTAATTTTGATAATACAACACTCAAAAAAACCCATTGTGTTTTCAACAAAAGACACTTAGCAAATAAACCCACAAACTTAAATCCCTTAGGAACTATTAGTTCGCTTGAGATTGTAGATAAACACATTGTTTACGAGTGCCAACAACCGTAATATTTGGGAGAATAGATTTCCGTCGCTCTGCTTCTAACAAAGTAACACGAAAAAGATGTGTCACACTATATTTTAACTCTTCGGCGTACTTGAAATCAGTTTTAACTGAAATTACTCAGTTATGTAAAATTATAGTAAGAAGTTTTATGGTCATTGGTCAACTAGCAACCTTCATATTTAATAACATCGTATAGAGACGTCATTTATAGATAAAAGATTTGTCATAGTAAAAACAGAGGATACAAATGTACAACACACGTCAGTTGTTATTTCAGGGCAATCACTCGACAGTTTCTACCTCGGGAGTAATTATTCTGTAACGGAATTATACCCTTTTTATGAGTTGATCACGGATTGATATCAGTTAGAGAACCACTGAAAACCAGCAAGGAGTACTGGACAGCTGTCTCATCAACCTAGTTTGGGAATCATCGCCAGTACGCACCCACTGGGATTCGAACCCAGGACCTCTCGGTTACAAGACAAGCTCGTATACCATTCAGCCACTGGGACCCGATTCAATGACCAGTGCATGAATTCTAACTTCTATCAATTCGTGATTTAGCGTGACCCCAACCAATGTCATTGGTGGGATATCCATCCTCACACGTGACATCTGAATGGATCTCAATGGTTCAATGGCTCTCTAACTGATATCAATCCGTGATCAACTCGTAAAAACAAAACTAACCCTTACAAACCAAACTACACACCCTTTTTGTTTATCATTTTATGACTAATTGATCGAAATCACTGTCATGAATGAAAGTGTGTTTTTCTATCATTGGCTATCATAGCATTGGTAATACACAAGTCAAACTTCTTGTCTTGAGAGAGTGTAGTGATTAAATCAACAATCCAACTATGCAAACATTTATTGATCTTTAAGTCAAAAAAATTACTTCAATTTGTTTATGATGTCATTTAATCGACATTTCGAGGTAATTGTAAATCATCGCTTTCCTGCGAAATCAGTTTCGCATCGACATTTCAGATTACCGAGGCCAATAAATAATAGTAGGACTCTAGATCGAAAATGAATATATTGGTATTAAGATCCTACATTTACCTCTCCCTTGTTGTTATCAGCAAGCCTGTGAATTTCAGAGTCGAAACTGACACCCTAACGACTGACATGCGAGATTCGTAAGGAAGTTGTTTGACTTTCCTATCTTGAGAAATATTTTGCAGAGGGTTAATTTAGCTACACTTCTAGCAATAGGATTGTGAAGTGTAGGAAAATAATTTTGAGAAAAATAACTCTCCCTTAAAAATAAAGAATGAAATCCTTTAAAACTCTGGGACCGTGAAATACAGGTCTGGTAAAAAAAAGAGCATGCTCAACTTATATGCCCACTGCCTATGATTCAGATCGTTACTTATCAGTATGTAGACAGACAATAAATACCAATCTATGATAAAGCTAACGAAATACTCTAACAACATACGTATGAAAAAGCTGGTATCCCGTATATGAGTCAAAAGATTAATTAACTACATTTATAAAAATAGATGGAAAATGAAGCATATGTTACAACTGGTCATTCATGTGACCTAATCAATAATTATTTCTTAAATAAATGACTTCTGAGTAAACAATTTAATGTAACTGGTGGCTGGAAAATAGCAGCAATTAAATCACATTGTAATAATCAATCATAAGAATCAATTTAGAAATTCACTAACTAAGTACTACATGTGGGAAAGCTGATTTCTCTGTACATAAATTGTTCAAAGTTACTAGTAGCTAATCGAAAACCTTCCCCATTATCTCATTCACATCTTAATTGCAATGGAACATTTTACCATGCTTTCCTTTTTCCCTTTTATCTTGCAACACCCAACAACCTTTGACTATATTATTTCGATTTCTCTTTTTCTCTATTTCTGTGACCTTCGACATGAATTGTAAACATAGAGTGTGGTGGCTTTGATCACAGTATGACATTGGTAGTTCTCACTTTTTAGTAGAAAAACAGACGATTCTTGGTTCCTTTGCTAGCAGTAGTAACCAATGGTTTTAATGACAAGTACAGTTGGCTGAAGAATAAGTTGGATAAGTGATATGAGTAGGTAACCGATCCATTTATTTTATTTATTTATTTAATCGCATAAAAACTTGGTACAATATGGCACCAAGAAGGATGCGCCACACAATAATAATAAAACAACATATATCAAAAGAAAAAAAGAAGGAAAAGAAAAAAATATAAGTAGAAAACGGATAAAGAACTTCATCTGGAAGGAAGACAGTCATGCTTAACAAGTTCAAACAGTATTCATTAACTATCATCGGGAAGGGAAGAAAGAAGGAAATTGCAACACGTTCGCCATTGATTGCCATTCTTGGCCATAGCCTATAACGTTTCGAGCCATCAATTTGAGCTATCTCTCAGACCCCAACCAGGGAGTCGTGACATACCAACCGATGCTAATCTAGAACAAAAATCCTTCATCCCACGACGCCACGTCATGGACTGACCACCTCCCACCTTTTCCATCCCGTCCCAGGGCTAGCGAACAGAGACCTGTACGGAAGCCTCTGGGATGACATTCACATCACATGTCCAAGCCACCAGAGCCGGTATTTCCAGATGACGACACTCAATGAATGGTGATCTCCACTGTGTTCAAACACACGCCGCCGAACCTCAGAATTACTCACGCGATGATGCCATCGAATGCAAGCAATCCTGCAGAGACAGCGATGATCGAACACGCAGAGTCGCCACACATCCTCAGCCTACTCGGAGAGACCAGGTTTCACAGGCGTAGAGCAGGGCAGCCAGCACCGAAGCATTGCATACCCGACCTTTGACAGCCAGGCTAACGTCGCGACGGCGCCAGAGGTGGCTCAAGTTGATGTATGCCACCGTAGCCTTCATTATACGGTTGGAAATCTCATCCGTCACCCCTCCGCCAGCACTCACACAACTACCCAGATACACAAACTTATCAACAACTTCAAGCGGTTCACCCATAAGAGTCAGTGCAGGTACAGGCTCCTGCCAATCTTGTAACAGTACTTTGCACTTAGACGGCGCAAAGCACATACCATACTTACAGACACTGACCGCCAACTGATTAAGCACGATTTGGGCAGCCTGCATGCTATCGCACAGTAAGACGATATCCTCTGCATACTCGAGGTCGAAAAGTCTATCTCCATAGAGACGAAGACTACCGGTTTGAGATATGTTAGTAAAAGTGTAAGTTTCTTGCCAACGATCATCAAGATGCAAAAAAATGGTGGTCGTAGAGTCTTGTTGACATGAATTAAAATTATTTACACTATATATTTATACATTTTTCATTATCTAAGAAATTCTTGACAGTTTCAATACACCTCGTTAAATTCTCTATTTTCTGAAAATCTATTTTATTAATAATACATTTTGTTTTTATGTGCTTTTTATAAGAATTGAGACTCGGATTAATGCACTTCTATGCAAAGTTCACATATGTCACTCTTTCTGTTTAATTACATTTATCCAGCTTACAAGTTGTAATCCAAACTACGTACAACAAAGATAAAATACGAGATCAGAAGTGATATCGAACACATAACCAATGGTCACAACTAACAGCTATCATGTATAAATTACCATTCGACTGCGATACGGCACAACTACGTTTGCTTGTTGAACTGTAACGTCTTTTACTAGATAAATGGAATGTATTTATATCAGAAAATAACAGATTTCATGTAATAGGTCACAATAATATGGACAAGAGTAAAGACGTAGTGGTGGTTATAGAGATGGTGAAATGTTTGCATTTGACCACCTAAATTATACATACGTAGAACAAAGGCTACAGAAAAAAGTTCATAAAAAGCGCACAATCCATGTTGCTCTATGGAACATCATCTAGAGGTCAGGTAATTCTAAATACGAATTTAGGAATAAGCCAAGTAACTCGGTAGAGCTGAATGTTTGGCTTTTAGTAAAAAAACACTGAGTTCGGTTGACATGCGGTGATATAACAATGGCTGCTATCACATAAAAGCTATCACTCGTCAAGCATAAAGTCAAACTTATTTCCTACTACAACTGCTACTGATGTACCCATCACAAAATTAGTGAACTTGTTTACTCTTTAGCTGAATAGTTTGACTAGTAACCTGAAGGATCGGGACACCCATTTATTTGTAATGCATTTGTGCATGCATGGAATACAGTTCCAAGAAATAAAGCAAACCTACGTTGAAATATGTTAACAGCTTCAGTGAGATTCATGTTTTTTTTCGTTACTACTTTTGCAGCACTCAACGGAAACTTATACTTCATTGAAAAGGAGTGTGAGAAAATTTGTGGGGACATAAGCTACTTGGTAATACTGGAAATATAGATGACGTATTATTTGGCAATGAACTATTTTCACTAAAACTATCATGGTTTGATAAAAGATTACAACATGATTTACAAATTAGACCTAACAACTTGACGTAATGAGTTTGAATTCATTGCGGATACAACTGTCAGTAAGAATATAGGGAATTCCGGTAGTCTTCAATTGCCGATTAGTCAAAGAAACTACGGGAGTAACGAAATAATTATTCTGAGAATTTACTGGGTATATCACAAAACATTCAACTGAGGGTCTTATTGTTAGATTGAAGTAACTTACCCTCGGAAGGAGGTGGTGTTTTCCCCAAAGATCGATAAAACGATTCTCGACGCTGTCTCTCGTCTAAACAAAAATGTTAGAAACAAAAGGCTACCACTTACTTCGTCTTAAATCTGGTACAACTTTATATACAATATCTTGGAGAGTTCGATCAAAACTATAGGGGAAAACGGGAACAAACAATGCACACAAATAAATCTGACAAACCTCATATAATTTAAAGGATGACTTTGATGAATAAGAATCCCGCATACAGGGCAATCACGTTTGTCTTCCGAATATTTGACTATACAAGATTTACAAACTATAAAGGATACATTATTATAAGAGGAATATTAATCGTCCTACATGGATGAAGACATTCAGTTATCGAAACTGCATCGATCAAATAGCCTTTACATAATTTACAAGTGATATATTCATTTAAATCTGATAACTGAATAGCAGAAGGTTCATCCATATACTCGTACATGTATTTGCGTCACTGCGTGGGAAACAGTAAGAAAACATCAGCTCCCCTCAACCTAAATAAATGGAAAAAAGAATAATGAGATCTTAAAAACTCCATGCAAACATCAGTTTCAGAAAAAACACTATTGAAATGAACTAGTTTTTTAAAACATTAAATAAAGAATTAAGTATCTTATTCGGAATTATGAAAGGTGGAGACACAGCAAAATTGATTGAGTATAAGTAGTGTACGCACACTTACTACACACCTCAGACTAGTCAAACATGCCAATAGAACGATCCTGTGTATTACTGGTTCACAGTGTGTCATTAGAACCTCTAGATTAACTGGATGAGGTCACCAGAGAGTGGAAACCAGTGGTTACGTAAAGCCTTATGACAATACCGGCACAGACTACTTTGATACCTTAAAATGAAACAGTTTTAATAAACAGTTAAATACTTCCCAAGTGACATAAAAATTGAGGGGATGGAAAACCCATCTTTTATATGTGTGCCTAGGTTCTGTCTGTAATTAATCAAATTAAACAGACAAAAATCCCCAGACAATTGAAGTGGTTTTCTACCAGTATGAGTTCATATTTCAGCTACATATATCCAGATAAAGCTTATAATCACTTGGTAAATATATACAAATTAAAGACAAATACACTGCTCCTCAGACCAGATGTATGCGAAAAAATGTTTCTGTACAGCTACCTCCATGTAGGCGTAAAATAGTTGCCGACCACAGGACCTAAGACCCTAAGTTAGGTTGATCTGTCTGTCTGTTTTCGACATAGAACTTTGTACCGATGTGCACCAGTTCAAATCGCCACAATCCTTCCTTGTAGCACACGAAGCAAGAGAAGGAAGTATAAGAAAAGCATAATAGAGACAGTAAACAGAGGTGTGAGACAAAGGAGGAGTAATAACGAAGAATTAAACAGTTTCATTGGAGATCATAAGTCACAAGGAGTGGATGCATCTGCGCCACTGAGAATGATTTTGAGCCATGTCACCAATTGTTTCCAACCATTGATTTTTACCGTCTCGAGGACCCCAGCCTGGAAGTCTACACCTTCCTACGTGGCTTAGACTAACTGTTGTAGATTTCATTGATTGGTGCCAAGTTTTTGTTTGACCGCCACTAGCTCTTTTCCAGCCTGACCCTATATCCGCTAACATTGCTCGTCGAGGAAGGCATACGTAACACATGTCCTAACCAAGCTAGGTTGATCTACCTATTACTATCGTCTTTTCCTTCTAAGTAGAATAGTTAAAGACCTAAACCATAGTGATAACTCTATGGATCATTATCTGCTATCCAATTACATAAGTACGATCCTCCTCAAAAACATGTGGGTTTTGAAGACCATTTACGTTTGCATCATGGTTAACAATGAATGGATAATTAAGAGGCAGGATTGAGCCAGTTCAACCTTTCTTTAACATACCAGATACATTTCTTAGGAATTCCTTCGAGGATAAACTTATTGAGACCCAGATAACAAATAATCACGAAAAGTATCTAACGGCACACTATAAAATGAGGGATTTAGGAAATAACAGGATTCGTGGACATCAGAAGTCATTAAATGTGTCTAAAAGACAGTCCTAAATGTGTGACTTGAGATTAGCATAGGAAGCACTACAGAAATGACTTTTTAAGCTACATGAACTACTGCATACAGCACTATTATATACGGCTGTTCATTTTATTCACTGAACTGTAAACAAATAAATCTTAAAATCCGTTATTACAATGACAAAGTAGGTATTTATAGCACATAGGAGAGAATCAACGAGATACGTTACTATAAATGGCATATTTATTGCAACAATGAAAGAAATCCCCACAAAAATGTTTTCACAAAGTAAACTCATAAGTCATTTCCCACAAAACCCAAAGGAAAAATCTTTGACTTATTGTTAGGAGATGTATAAAATACTTTTGACAGCATAAATACAACACTGTTTAGTGCGCAACAAAAACTGGGCAACCATTTAATATCAGAAGACACAATTTTTGTTCACTTCCTTCAATTTGAGTAAGGAGATAAGTTTCTAACGACTTGCAAACGTCAAGCGCTTATGTTCATATATACATATATGGGTTGTTTTATTCATTTTTATTGCACCAGTTGTAAAAGTTTTAAGACTTATCGGTAGCACTCGATCAATACAATTTAAATACTGAGAAATCTACGGTCATTTTTTCTCCAAGATTGAGCACATTTATACCATTTCGAAAAAAAATGAAGTGAATGGCAGCCCCCAGATGACCCCAGATGTAAACATATACCTAACCACGCATGAAACGTGAATTTTTTCATCATAGTTCGCTGCTGCGTTGATTTTGAAATCCATCACGTTAGGGCTACGAATTAAAGTAACCCTAACCTACACGGGCAGCTTTAATCAGATAGACCACTATTGCGTTAGATTTCAATTGAAAACTGAATTTACTTTCTGGTTTAAAATAAGAAATAAAAAGTTACTAGACACTCGAAACATTTGGGTTTACAAATATTAAAATCCTACGAGTTTAATAAATCCGTTAAAGTTGGCTGCTTAATGTCACATAATGACCGCTATCCCGTAACTAATCGTACATTTAGCTCATTAAGATTTCTCGGTGAAAATTTTGGTGATTAGGAGGTAGCGTATTTTCAAAGGCTTTCCAAATAATGACATAAAAAATTTAACCCTGATCGATAAAGAAATACGTGATTGAAGATTTCCATACAAGTAAATATTATTAGCTTGCATAAACACAGTTTAAACAAACCTACTATACATTTGTATCAAACTAATAATATGCAGAACATACAAAACGACCACATCACATTTACATAATCAGGGAAGGCTTATATCTCGCGCAGTACATTATGACCTTCTTAGGTCCAATGTTCAATGTGGAACGGTGTATCTGTAAGATGATAAGTCTAGCCAGTCCTGTGCGAAAATGCAAAATCCTCCGTCAGGAGAGGCATGGCTCAGCCGGTGGTATAAAGGATTTTGCTTGGAGTTATCAAAGCGTCTGTTGCGTGTATCTTGTCTTTCCCGAAGTGTATGCAGTAAGCACTAATACTAGAATTTGTGAAGATTGACAAAAAGAAAGCTTATGAAGGAAGTTAGTGTAGCACTAGTATTTGCTGTCATAATTAAACTGCTTTTCTAACTGGCACAAACAAACCCTCCAATTTCAAGCAGCTTGGACAACGCCTATGTAATAACCTCTGAATTGTGATTCTTCATAGATTCCACCCGACTGTCACCATAGCACCCAAGTAACAGTCTGTCTGTATGATTGGATTGTTCACTATTTTTTAGTCCATTTTCAAGACGGACTCCATATTCAGTGTAGCTATTGGTGTAAAGATTAAACCTCTAAAATAATACTAAATGCAGCCAATGTCTAAACCACATGATAGATTTTTCGTAATTTTTTTAAATTCTTTTTTTGAGAATAATAATTCGCTCTATTCCAAAACAGCACTTGTGATACAGAATGGAATTCTCAGCATTTTACTTCTGTATTGCATCCAGTTAGTACATTAACAATAGATAGAATTCTACATGGATTAAGGGTAATCTCTGTTAGTTTTGACAACAACATATTGGCATGTGGGTAGCAAAGCCAAAATTGAACAGTGTTTGAAGGTGTTAGAAAAGCAGATGCTAGTATATTAACTGGCGTCAGCGGTAACAAAAAAGTTCAGATATACAGAGTGTGAAAGAACGAAGAAGAATGTTTGAAATGGAATTATTAAGGAAGAAAGATACAGGGTAAAATAAAAGATGGTCACCATTTTGGAAAGTAGCATAGCGAAAACTTTGATTTTACAGTGAGGCCAGCAGTACAAATAGCTCAGTAATCTTCTAGACTTCTCACGCGTAGTTTACTTTGTCTTTTTTCTCCGTCAGCGCTACTTCCAAAATATGCTTCCGCATTGTGTGGAATGGGGTAATTCCACACAAACGGTAGAGGACCATTTGTTGCACTGTTGTGTAAAGAAACTATTCAGCTTTAAGTCCAGCCTATTTTTGGCGGCTAAGGTCTGAGCGAACTAATCTTCTTCACTTCTCACAATCCCCTGCAACTTCAAATCATCGTGATAAAGACTTACTGCATCAGGTTCTTCGTCAAAATATTTACGAATGCCTGAAACTGAGATGACCTCAGAAAAAGTCCATGTAGTATCTCAATAGAGAACTCTTTCCATTTTGTTCAAGTGTGATTCAACTTCATGGGAAATTCCATGCAACCTATGTAGGCACTCATGAAGAACGTCAGTGTGTCACCTTGTGGACTTTGTGTATGAAATATTCGTTTCGAACTAGTTAGTCTGGGATCAAGGTTTGCAGAATCCTGCTGGAGTTAACATTCACAAATGCGGTCGGATTTCCGTTGGCAACTGTAATCTCGACTGAACCCTTTAAATGAACGTGCTAAAACTGTCTTCACTTCAATCAATTGCAGGTCTTTGCATAAGATACTCTAGTAATCCTAACGTTCTCTGAACAAACTGGTTACAACAGACAAAACTTGCGGGCTTCAGGTTTTATTACTTGCATTTTCATTTGTTGTAAAACAAGTTTTGTTATACAAAATATGCGATCGATCTCGCTGAAATACTGTAGGCTTATTCCCGGCGGACTCCGACAGAATGGCAAGCTCAGATTGGGAAGTGTAGCAACTTACTTTAAGTGCTGTTGGCTCATAATTATGTCTTGACCACGCTGAGCGCTGCAGCAGACTGAAAAAAACTGCTCCGGTAAGGGCGTCTTAGGCTTAATTTTATTTCCGACCGCAAGTTAACTAATCTTCACTTGAATTCCTCTTAGACAATGACTAAGCTGAGAAAATGCGGTTCAACTCCTTATCAAACAAATTTTCAGCCATCTGGAATAGACTACCAACTAATCTGTGTGACGCAGTCACACTTCCAGTATTTATCTCCTCAGTCACCAGACTCCTCAGAAAAGAGGATGCTTTTCTCCATCTGACTCTTGCACACTTTTTTCATCTCACACAAATATATTTGGTTTACTAAGGGTATGAGTAGTAAAAATAGTACTGGAGGAACATGTTAAACATTTCTACACCTGGCATAAATATTAGCTTGTACATTCAATATAAGAGTAAGCATGGCGGAATTAGTTAGTTATGGTATCAACAGGAATCAAGGTTTCTATACAAAGGATACATATATTTATAAGTAATTCCTTTAGGGCTCAGTGTGCTCGTTTCTTTTCCACTTTCCTTTGTCTTCTTTTCGCCACCATTTTAGGCAGTATTCGATCTGCTGAGCGGGGGAAAAGAATGTAAAAATTTGTTCAATCACAATAACTGACTAAAGGGAACTGAAGATCTAACTGACCTCAAGCCTGTAAGTGCTCCGCAAGGTAACTATAACTTTCTCCCTGGACGTACCCTGGACGACAACTACGAAATATTACCCGTTGTACGAATAAACAAATGCATATCAATACCTATGCAGCTCCAGCAAATCTCGAAATATTCCTAGACTGGTTTTCAGATCTCAGTGACTCGATGCTAATAGTTTTCAGATCTTGAACGTTTCATTTTATATGGATAAGTTCACCATTATTTCGGTTCTTGACTGATTATGGACCAAAAATAACCTGCTACTGACAACTGTTGATGTGCTGACACTACTTTATGCATTTAGATGGACATTGACTTCTGCAATGAGCCATTTGCAACTAATATTTCTGCAGAAATTGATATCCGACAACTAACTAATGTTTTTGAAAACAATTTTACCATTTTATGAATAACCCGTATCAACTACCAATAGTAACGCAACCTTCTGTTGCTACGCGAATTTTGATTAAATTTAAAATAATAATGATGCCCAGGATCATATTCTGTACATTGCTTCTGACTACGTTAGGTGATATTATCAATACTTTTTCATCGGTCTTCTCTTATAAATCTTGTGCAACTGAACAAATGTGAATGAGCTGGATCTATGTGTATATTATATAACGCATTGAGGATGCCAGTAGGCCAGAGTCGCTCACATGCAAACGAGTGGAAATATACTGATATTACTACAAAAGCATTTTATACGACGTAAGGTTAGAAGATTTGAAGCGGTCTAGAAACCACTCATATGCTGGGAAGTTTTGACCCCAACATGTAGACTAATTATTTCAAGGTTATATTATTTCGGAAATACATAATCGCTTAGTCTGAAAAGTGTAGAACCCATTCAGAAAGTACATTTCTCTCGAATGTTTTTGATGTTATCATGTAATAACAGTAGTTTCTGCCAACTATCAGAAATTGTCAATGTCCAGCTCTTTCTACGCCGGACCTAACGCTGTCCCTCGAAGACTTTCAGAAACAATTTACGATAACCAATGCGAAAAACCAGAACACACAATAAATCACGATAATATTTCTGATACAAAACGATACATGCATTCTCTGGCCCTACCATGGCCAGAGTAAATTTCTTACTATAATTTTGCTCCTCTCTTTTGATGTGTAAGTTCATCATTATTATTACTGTTCCTAATACTTTTATTATTATTACTATCCCCACCATCCACATTTTATTACCACTCTATTACTGTTTATTAATAAATTTGTTTTTCACGCAGATCTTATACAAAACTACTCTATAGCATTTCCACTAGTTCCTGTCCATTCTACACTAGCTTATTGATTAGTCATTGTCTCACACTTATTAGGTCATGCCAATTTCTGTCTCCTTTCTAACTTACAATTAGTCATCCCTTCTTACACCTTACATTATGTAGTGGAATTTTCAAGGGCAAAGTTTACCAGTATCTGATTGGTCGAAAAATTTCTGTGTTAATTATCATTACGATTGTACAGCTCAGAAAAATGAATCGTCGAAAAGAAAATTTTCTTCGCTGTTTGTGCCTTTTTTATGACTCCATCTGAACCATGTTGAACTAAGGACACACTAGTTCTGGTATCGTAATGTCCACTTTGAGAAAGTGAATTGTTACCAATGGGACACAGTTTTAGCAGGGCTGCAAAGACATCAGGAAACTACACAGTCTTGAGGCGTTAGTGATTACCGTAGCCGTTGGCAACAGCAAAGTATCTTATATTTAACATGTCGCCAGTAAAACCTGGTAACTGCTTCACATTAGCGCCGAAGTAGGCCTCTTCTCGGTCGCACGTGCAGATCTCCAGATCAGTACAACTTACAGGATGCGAATGGAAATCCCATTACAAATTTCGGTAGATGACAGCGGAAACGAATATGCAGAGGCTTACTGGCCATACGGTATACAAATATTTAAATGAGAACATATTGAGATTCTTAGGGGCTAAATACCACTAACACTACTTGTCAAGTTAGTTGAAGATTGAACGATCAATTCACGGTTGTTTGCTCATACCCAACTCCTCCATACTTTTCACGGGAGTCATCAATCCAGCAGTCATCGACTCATCGTTCGATGTTCAGTGGAAGACAGAAAACTATCAGAGGTATTATTGTGATTTATTGTGATAACATTTATTCTTAGACCTTGTGTATGATAACCTTGTTGTTGGTTACATATTGGCGTAAGAATAAAGGATTCTCGAGTCGCCAATCTGTGTTCTGGTTTTTCGCGTTGGTTAACGTAAATTGTTTCTGAAAGTCTTCGAGGGACAGCGTTAGGTCCGGCGTTGAAAGAGCTACTTCCTTCAACGAAGGTATTGATACAGCGATGCTATTCTCCGCTTATTCGTGATATTGCTAGCTCATCTGGTAAATAACGGGACCACCTATATCATAAATTCTGCTGACAAGTTGAAAGTCGGTCTCATATACAACTGGAAATGTCACAAATATGGTGTACTTACGGCGAATTTAAA